GCACGTCGACCAGTCGCTTCCAAAACGCTTGATAACCCAAGCCTGGAGATCCATACTGGGGTTGGTGCTCAAAGTCAAAAGAGAAGCCCAGAATGAGAATCATTGTGACTCCACCCATGGCAGTTGCCTGAACATAGGCCAGAGGCAAGAATATCCTCAGCCACATGGCTATCGCGATGAAGACAGCAGTGCTGGCAGCCAGGCCGTAGGGGTTCCCATGACCGCTGCCAGATCCTATATACCATGCCACAAGGCCAAAGAGACCCCCAATCACCGTGCCGAGCGCTCTGGAGATGAGAGAAAAGGTGAAGTCGGCCATGTACAGGAGGACACAAGTCTGAGCGGTGATTACTGCCCACAGCCCCTTTTCACGGTAGAAGAAGCCGGCCGAGTTGGGGATGGCGGCCGTGATGGCAGTGGCAAGAGTCACAACAACCATGCGCATCGCGTACATGCCGGCCGGGTTGGTGATCCAGCGGTAAGTGCCGACAATGGCTCTGCCAACCCGAGTCCCGCGATTGGGAGACTCGTATCCACGAATGAGCCGAAGTCGCTGGCGCACCGCCTTGGACTGTTCGTCAATCGCGTCCGGGTCGTCTGTAGCACCGTCGTTGGAAACACCAGCAACCGGGACGGTTTCCTTGCCGCTAACCAGCCATGCAAAGGCGTAGCGTATGCGGGAGGGAAGCCAGATGCGGTGACGTGTCTGTGATGTTGTCAGATGCAAAACGTGCTTCAGCATGGCTTCCGTCGCCAGCGCCACGCTGATGATTCGCTCCTCCAGCACCATGGCCACCATCATGGCTCGCAGGGATTGTGGATGCAAGGTGGAGGTGCCAGTATCCGGGGCCTTGAGCCGGCCGTCCTGATCAAAGAGATCGGAATGGCACTCCAGAATCGCTTCGGTGGTAGTGGCCGCACAGGAGACGCGGGCGGCCTGCAACGCTGCCAGGGTCGTCTCCAGACGTCCAATCAACCTGTCAAACTCGTGCTGGGATGGCTGGCGGATCCATCGACGGGTATTGACCGTGTGGATGCACTCACCAACGAGTGCTATGGAGGCCGAACAGGCTAGTCTCACCTGAGCGGTTGTCTCGCTCATCGCTTCAGTCATCCGGGCTCGGAGCTCGCTCTGCTCTGGCGTTCTCAAGGCATTCATCAGCTCCGCGTATTGCAGCACATGGCGCTGGCCGATCTCGTGCCCTCCCTTTTCGGCCGCCGCACCGTCGCTTGAGTGCTTGTCGAACTGCAGGCCCGCTTGGTTTACCTTTTGCAGGCCGGTGATGGTGGCGATGTGAAAGTCAAGGAGGGACACGCAGGATAGCATGGTCTGGCGGATGCATTCTTCCAGGCCCTTGACGTCCTCTGCGTTCCATCGGCCGCGGGAGACATCGAGCGGGAGGAAGGCGATTTCTGGTGCCATGGACTTGAACAGGGCCACGATGCCATTCTTGGTGGCCTTTAGCTGGCCCAAGTCCAGGGACTCGCCAACGAAGCGCCTCTGAGTCAGGTCCAGCGGGGTGTCCAGCATCCGGACGAGCTGCTCCATCTTCCGGAGCACCGCATAGGACGTCGACTGCGGGAAGAAGATGAGGCAGCAGGCAGCGCCGATACCGACGCCAATGGCCCCCGGCTTGACCAGCGTCTGCCCCAGAAGCGGCGTGAAGGACGGCAGCAGGGGTCCAATTAGCAAAAAGACATCCGCCACGATGGTACCGAATAGGTGGAGAAACGTCAGTTTGATGTTGCCGGCCTTGAGGCGGGCCAGCAGATAGATAAAGGCCAGAATCATGACATAGTACACCACCGTCACCCGGGCATCCAGCATGGCGCCCTGGTAGACCAGCTGCTGGCCAATGACGGTTGCGTTCTGCCCAGAGCGCTCTGCTTGAGCGACAGCCGCCTGCTGCAGGGCCCGGAGCTGTGCTTGGGTGTCGGCCGCGGGTCGAGCCGCCAGCGCCGCCTTCATGGTCGCGATGCCCCAGGCCCAGCCAAGGCACATGCCAAATAGGAGGGACAGGGATCCGAGCAGGTAGATGAGCAGGATGCCGGCGGGTGGCGTCACGAAGAGCACCAGCGCGGCAAAGAAGGTGGACGAGCCAATGCTATGCAGCGACGGCCCAATGTATATCAGGAGCGAGGCCACCCAGGCCGCCACGGAACAGCGGAAGAGCGTCTTGAGGTCATTGCCGTTGAAGTGGTCGAGCCACGAGGGCAGCGTGTGCTGTTTCTGTTTCTGTTTCTTGGGCGGCTGCTTCTCCGTGGCGCCATTGTTGGCGCCATTGTTGGTGCCACTGTCAGCAGACATGGACACATCCGCCGACATTGCTGGCTGTATGCGCTGTATGGCCGTCAATGGGCATCAGAGCATTGATACGGGGGATGCCGGCAAGGGGGAAAACATCAATGAATGGAAGAAGGTTGTCAACAGCGAGCTCGGCGCCCACCCTATGTCGAGCTTGTCACTTGAACACTATACGGTGCTGGTAAAGGGTAAAGGGCAAAGGAACCGCTAGCGCTAAAGCGGCTTTAGGCCCTGTCTGGAAAAGGTTCAGCTGATCCAGCAATACGGAGCACAGGGAGGACAGTCAGCCAGTCAACACCCCCAACACAATCGGCACTTTGCCCAGCTGTGGTTAGCAAACGGCGATCTCGTTTGGTATAGGAGTCGAGTAGGAGAAAGGAATACTAGTAGCTGTGGCCTATCTACAAGTACGTACATCGGTTGCTGGGATTGCTCACTGACAAGGAGACCGGATTGCCCGCACCCTGTTAACTGAAGCTGAAAGAAAAAGAAAGAGGGGGACAGGAGGAGCGAAGGAAGGGGATAGACGCATAATAGGCAGGGTTCAAGGAATGAAGGGGAAGGGGGCCGAGATAGAAGATAGTTTAAGTAGTAGTTCGTGGGATTCGATTGTAGTATACGGCGATACGGGGACTGCTGCAAGTCTGGCATGGGACGGGCGACACGGAGCGGTTGGGCAAGAACAGAGCGAGATAGGGGACTTGGTATAGTCTCCTTTCGGCGAACTCAAATGAGCGTTCGGACGTTCCCTGGCACCAAGAAAGAACCTCTGACCTTCCAGAAGTAATTACCTAGTTAATCGACTCTTCTTAATTGGGGCCGTAGTGACGATGCTGAATGGCTCTGGGATTTTGTAATTTCGCAAAGGAACACTGTCGCTTCGCTCAGCTGGGAGATGTAGGCTGGCCGAGGTTTCAGGCAGCTTCAGCTCTCTTATGCGGCTTCAGCTGGAAGCAGTAATGGCTCACAGGAGGAGGCGTCGGGTGAGCGAATTGGCGCCAGTTTTGTCGGTTTTATTCAAACCACGCACCGCACAGGAGGACAGGGGGCCATCATGGCTACCATGGCTACCATGGCTACCTTGGCTATCTGGCAGGGGAGCGAGCACGGAGGAGCACTGGCCGGCGTTGAAACCCTACCCAGAACTTGGAAGCGTCTCTGGCGGCCGGTCTCTTCTCTTTTGCTCTTTTTCCTCGCGTCTCACGCGCCAAGGGACGACCCGAACGCTCGGAAGGGTCGTAGCGTCATGCCTTTTCCCGGTGCGGCGGTCGAGGTATGGAGCAAGTAAGCTTCGGTAGAATCGGGTAGCAAGCACCAAGCAGCTCTGCGGTGGATACGCGTGGTGGAGGAGCTGGGCACTGACAGCAGCCAGCTCGAGAGCTGTCCATATTCCCCTAGCCTTGAAGCAGCAAGGACAGGGCTGATGCGCGTATCTAGCGTCGTGCTACTACGTACATGCAGTATAAACCACTGCTGTCAGCGATCTGGATCTGAAGCTGCTGGAATCGAAATCGAGGGGCACGACGCAGTAAGCAATGGGGGAGCCCGATTCGATTCATACCTGGAGAAACAACGCTTTGAGAGTGTGTGAGCGTGTGTGCGTGCGTTTCGTCCAACACGCCCTTGCCTTGCTCATCACGCTTTGCTTTGAGCAAGTTGCTCGGAATTGGGGAGCTGCTGGGTGGGCATATGAGGTCATGTGGCAGCTGCTTGGGCTGGAAATGCTCTCAAACCTCCGAGCCTCCGAGCCTTGCGGTTGCCAAAGCTGGTAATTATGCAACGCCGATGCACAAAAGCTGAGAGAGCCCGTACAGTAGTTTCAATAAACACCCCCACTGCTTGGATGGCTGCGGGCGCTCTCCTTCTCTAGACTCGATTGATGCTGGCGGCCTTTTCGGTGTGAGAAATTGGTTCAAAGCGAAAGCAGCAGCCCCCGGAGCCACCTTTCAGCCCCAGATGGACGTCCCTGTCCCCTATTAAGGCTGGCCCAGCTGCCCTTGCCTGGGGAGAGCTGGCACTCGGACAGGAGACGAGTTTGGGTTTGAAGCGAATTAATTTCACCACCCAACGCCCCTTTGGCAGATGTACATGCTGCCCTCTGTCGGTGGACCGAGTCAGTCACTCCTGCTCTGCCGTGCCACGGTTTAGTTACATATCTTGGCGGGAAGCGGCCACTAACCCGGCTCCTATTGGGGCTCCTATTGGAGAGCCGATCAGCCACCCATCATGCGTGACAACGCTTTAGGAGACACCGCACTTGAGGTCGCAATCTCGCTCTGCGGGCGAATCTCAGGCCAACAACAGGCGTCGTATTGGGCCCTCGGAGCGTATGCAATTCGGATAGCGTAGCACTGCGGGGTTGTGCGCTGCGTGTTATATAAGGAGGCCATCTGGACCAACAAGTCGTCGTCGTGGCCACTTGTCGATCTGCTTTTCTCCCATCACCTCTAGAGCTCAAGAGCTTCACGCCCGGCTTCTCTCTTAATATTGTCTTTGCCATTTGAATCAATCCTATTTTACATGTGTATATATACCCGAGCGTGTTGAAACAATTGGAGTAGCAGTACGTGGTCTAGCCAATGAGTGCCGTTTGAAGTATACCAAAAACATCATCTAACACCAGCAACAGCCATTGCAGGCCAGCTCACACCACAACACACCACACACAACAACACAACACCAACATCACAAAACCATGTCTACTCTTACAGAGTTTACCTACTTTCCACAGCTTCCTGCCGAGCTGCGGATAGAGATATGGAAGCTCGTGCCTGAGCCAGATCGTCTCATCGGCTGGGTCCCCTGCTCCAACTGCGAAGACATCTGCAAGCAGAGACCAAACTGCCGGGAAGAAGAAGAGGCCAAGCCGCTCGCCAGACAGCAGTGTATGGAGGAAAACCACCCTGACTGGCTTGTCAAGTATGTGGCACACCCGCGCAAGAATGCCATCTTCGCCCCTCTCCACGCCTGCCGCGAGTCCCGCGAAGTGTGGATGACCAAGTACTTTCAGCCTCCTCGGAACGTCACGGTCAACGTATCTGGGACGGAAATTCCCGTCAAGTTCAACGTGCCCTTCCTCAACTACGAACATGACGTCTTCACCATGTTTGGAGCCTGGAGCTCGACCAGCATCTTTGACGTCGGCGGCCCGATGGAAGCCCCGGTCGAGCCCTTCATCGGCCTCGATCGGTCACGCATCCAACACGGCGGATACTGCGAAATTATGGACCAGTTCTTCCCCGCGTCTACTCTATTCGAGGTCAACGAGCTGCCAGCCCTGAAGAGGCTGTCGTTGATTACCATGGGTCCCCAGCCCCAGGCGGATAAGCAGCAGGAGCCCGGGGTGCTTATGCAGATGACCCCGTGCACGGCTGAGCGCTATGACTGCCAAATCGTCGACCTGGTGAGCCCTGAAGTCGGCGAGAACTCTGCCTTTATGAACGAGTCCCGGCCGCGAGCCCACCGACACACGAAGCAGAAGAAGTTTGACCTGTTCTACGACGAGTGGAAGGCCTGGCTATGGCACGTTGCGGAAGCCGACGCCCATTTGCGCATCAAGTCAAACGCCGCTTCTTGGTGGAAGGTTGTCAAGTTCTCCGTGGCAGAGAACGCCGCTCATCACCCTCGCACCGCCGAGGACTGTCCCCTCTATCCAGATAGATGCACCGGGCCCGCCGGACACGGGCGATGTGTCATTGACCACTGGGAGTCAAAGTATGAGCTTTCCTGCAAGTATCTGGTGGAGGATAAGTGGGCCAATGTCCTGCAGAACGACATCGGTGTGAAGCTTGGCGGGTGGCAGCATCCCATCAACCGAGAGGAGAAGAACAAGGAGGCAGCGCGCATCCGCGACTACGTTGACGACAACTACCAGGGAATCTGGCAGTGGGTTGATGACGATGAAGAGTGATGTCTACTTTTCTTGCTTTTTCTTTTTCTTTTTTTTTTTACTCTGGGTAAGCAGAGCGGGGAAACATAGGAATCTGGATCTTTGTGACGGCATATTTGTGACGGCCTATCATGTATTTGTTATCAGCGTTTGGGTTTACGGCGCCAAAAGGCGGTATTCAGGATTTCGGTGGGCATATTGTAAGAGTATCTAGGGCATGGCTAAGCGACGGTTTATGGACTTCCCCCTTGCTGTTTTGTTTTTCCTTTTTTCCTTTTTCCTTTTTCCTTTTTCTTTTTTTAGTTCCTGTTTATCCGGTCTCTGTCATCATTGGGTCAGGTGGAAGCAGGTTTCATGTAGGGAAGCGAAACGGCATGTGATGATTTTCCCCATTGAAGCATTAATAGATACCTTTCCTGCTAGCACTCGTTTAAGAGAAAGCCACGGATATAGAAGACATATTATTATTAATCCAGTTCTCTTGATGCCCGAGTGATACCACCTTGTACTACCCTCTGCAGCACGATGATATCACTCGCTGCACGACGGTTCGCTTTGTGTATCTCTTGCGTCTGCATCATCCATGGTCTGTGTCCCTCCAAGAGGGGCCCCATGTAGTCAAGGCCCGGAGAATTCGGCGGAGTGGCTGCACCACCTTTTAAAGCCCACGGCATGTGGTGCTGCCCGCTAAAAGAGTTCAAACAACCACTAACAGCCCACTAACAGCAAAAGGAGCCCCCCACTCACCCTCGGGCCGTGCAGCTACGGCTACGGGAAGTGGAAAGTGGAAAGTGGAAAGTGGAAGCCGCAGCGGGTGGGTAGCAACTGCCACCCACTGCTATCAGGCAATATGCGCAACACCCAACTGCCGTCACTATCACCAATATTAGTAATTGATGCTGATATTTCGGATTTAGATGCTTTCTGTCTACGCCCGCGTATCAGCTGTCAATTTGCCTATCTTGATTTCTCGTTGATTTTGCCTTGCTCAAAGGTGAATAGAAGGGAAATAAATCCCACCAATCCTCTTTCCTGAGCACCTCGACCCTTGCCCACCTGCCGACTGCCGACTGCCGACTGCAGAATCAAGGAAATCGACCATCTACTAGTAGTAGGTAATATATGCATATGTATGCACAGAGTGTGCAAGAGAAGAGAAAACGCCCGTTTTTAATCCAAAAATGGAGCTGTGTCCCTTTTTGGTGGATGGGTATAATCTTACGACTTTTTTTATGTACCTACCTTACCTACTAGGTAGGTGTTGAGATTTGTTTGACGGGCGCTCTAACTTATAAGTATATCACCTTTGGCTAGGACTGCTAGGAGTGCTTGCGTTGGCATTAGGAAACTGTCCTAGATTGCAGTTGTCTTGTTTTTGTTTACATCGAGAAGGAGGAGAAGGGGGGAGAAGAGTGAAATTGACTGCTAGTACTGCTAACTGGCCACTACTTTTTGATTCATGGAGGAAAAAACTCTAGGCGCAACGCCGTGAGCTGGGCACTGCTGGGAACCCGTAAGCAGCCCTTGAGTTCGCGAGGCTCTAGAATGGGGAGGTTCATCCTGCTTGTTTTGATTCAATTTCGATTTCATTCATTACATCAATTTTTTTTTCCGGTGCCGGCAACGCATGTTGTTTATATAGTAACGCTCAGCTGGCATCAAAACTAACTTCAATGTTCACGGCCAACTCAATAAACTGGGGATGCCGCCGTGCCATCTTCGATGATGCAATGTGGCTGGCTTCTCTGCCAAACAGGATACGCCTTATACGCGCGAAAAAGTCAAGAAGGGGGAAAAAAGAAACAAAAGGCAGAGTCAACTCTCGTATTTCTCAAAAGCACCAATTGCAAAGAGATGAATTGAAGTGGTGAGTATCATAGCTATACAGCTTCATTACGTTGTAGCGACAATGTCGTCCACCCCTTGGGTCTTCATCTGCCCCTCCTCCAGGGGCATTGGCCATGCCCTCACTTGTCATCTTCTGCGACGCACGTCTCGCTCGTCCATCCCGATTCTTGCAACGACGCGACATTCCGATCTGGCAGCTGCCAAGGCCGCAATTCTGAAAGATGTGTTTTCTTCATACTCGTCATCATTCTCTTCGTCGTCGTCTTCGCCCTCTCCATCATCATCGTCACAGCAGCTGCACGACAAGCTATCAAAGCGCCTCTTTGTCGTCCGCTGTGACGTGACCGATGAATCCACCATTGAATCTGCCGCCAAAAAGGCAGAAAATCTATTTCCCAACAAGTCGCACCATTTGCATCTTGCCTGCGTCCTCCCAGGCGTGTTGCTCAACCCAGAAAAATCCCCAACGCAGGTTGATGTAAACGCTACTCTGGAGTCGTTTCGGATCAACTCTGTGGGCCAAATGCTCATGGCGAAGCACTTTTTTGGATTCTTGCCCAGGAAGGCGACGGCGATGGCAAAGGCGATGCCGGGCTACAACGGCTATGACTACAATGAAGATGAAGACGACGAAGAAGAAGACGAAGAGCGAGAGGACCAGGATGATGAAGATGAAGCCGAAGAAGAGGCGTCTCTGCGTCTGCCTCGGCACGCTACTTGGTTGAACATGTCTGCCAGAGTGGGATCAACGACTGATAATCGCGCTGGCGGGTGGTTTTCGTATCGCGCGAGCAAGGCCGCAGTCAACAGCTTCACCAAGAGCCTTGATATATCTCTGCGTACACGCGCAGGAGATAATGCAATGGCGGTGGCGTATCACCCAGGCACGGTAAAGACAGAATTGAGCAAAGACTACTGGGGCGGCGTGCCCAAGGAGAAGCTATTCAGCGCTGAATATGCGGCTGAGAAACTCCTGGATGTGGTTTGTGGGCTTGGAATGAGTGATAGGGGTAGATGCTGGGACTGGAAGGGGACTGAAGTTCTCCCTTGAATTTGTTGTACGTGTAGTACTTTTCGGACAAGCTTTGATGCTAGGTTTATTGGATGATAGCTCACTCTAAATGCACTCAACTCCAATTACAACAAAGATAATCTTTTGGTAAACGACTCGCACGCCACGATTTTGTCCCATTCCCTTCTTGGTTGCCTAGAGTCCTTTCTCCCATTGTGAAAAATAATCAGTCATAGCACCTCTTCTTTTCGTCTGCTTCTTCGTTTTCTTCTCCTCTTCTCATAAGAAGAAACACATGCATCACATCGGATTCAAATTACAAATATAAAACGCGCCAAGTTGATGGGGGCTATCAGATAGGAGCCGTTAGATAGGGGCATACGCTCAGCATACACGCCCCTACAGTTCCACTTCCTGGAACGAAGCTCCGTCTGGCGGCGAGGCCGGCTTGTTTTCGTCTCCGTCTTCGTCTCCCTCCTCGCCCTCAGCAACTTCTTCCACTATAGCTGTTTGCGAACCGCCGGGTCGTAGTTGTCCTTGTACATCTTCCAGACGGACCTTTTGCTCAGCCTGATCGTTGGTCCTTGCTTTCTGCTCGGTGGATTTGGCCTTTGGCTCTGCTGCTTCGCCCTCTTCTTGTTCCTCCTGGGCGTCAGAGTCGTCTTCTGCCTCTATGGGTGCCTTGGCCCCAGCCCCAGCCCCAGCTCCATTCTCTGGGCTCTTCTTCCCAATGGGGGGCGTTACTGGTGGTGCTGGTCCCGGTGGGGGAGACGTGCTCACTGGAGACTTCTTGCTAGCTGCCTCTTGTTCTGGTGGCGATGTTCGTCGTGGCAAGTCCTTGGGAGGCAGATCCTTTGGCGGAGGAGGAGGCAGCTGGTCATCGCTGGGGGGTCCTGGCCGCATAACGTCGAGGTAGAATTTGGTCACGCCAAAGATTCTGCCATTCTGCTCGCAGGCCGTCACCCATTCGGGCCGCACCACGGGGATGTTGTTCTCCACAGCCTTCTCCCAGGCTGTTCCTCGGCCTTCGGTGGTGACAAAGTGCGTCGTATCGATGCGGACGCCGTCGACAATCTTGGCGCCGATTCGCTCCACAGCCCGGGTCAGGTTCTCCCTCGTCGAGGCCGGCATGATGCCCGTTGTGATGGTGATTCCACTCAGATCCGTCATCTTGTGGGTTCGTACAACCACCTTTTCGCTTGCTCGCGTCCCGGCGCTGGTCCGCAGAACCAGGTGGAAGCTGTACTCGGTGTCGACAGCCAGGCCACTGATCTTGGTGCTGTGCATCTCCAGCGGCCGCGGGATGTTGCCGGCCTTTTGCCCATTGCGGTACAGGCTCAGGGATATCAGATCGGCGGTAGCGAGCTCGATGGGGTCCCATTCCAGGACAACGGAAGTCTGCGTCGCATTGCGGCAGCGCAGGAGTGGTGCAGCTGGCTCGGTGGCGCCAAAGGACTGGAAGATGCGGTCTTGGAGGGAGCGAAACTGGTCTTCGGCAGCAGCCTCCTTTGTGGTGTTGCGGCCAACGGTGATGTCCACGATACTACCGGAGGAGATGTTGGGAGGCAGCAAGATGGATGGAAACTCGATCTATAGTTGCGCAGAAATAGCAACCATTTGGTCAGTCGCAGCCATATATGGATATTGAAATTCAAAAGACGTGAAAGAATAGCAGACTAGATATGACGGTCCAATTGGAAAACAAAACAAAACAAGAACAAGAACAGGCCAGGTTGCGTGCGAGACATACCAAGCGCTTGTCTGGAGTCAGCAGCACTGTGACTCCTGCGTCGACCTTACCAACAGTTAAGGATACAAGCATGACTGTAGAGAGGATTTGCCAATGGATATTGAGAAAAGGGAAGAGGCGATGCTGGAGGAGAGGCTGCGGCGTCTCTGGCCAGGGGATCGTCAGCTGGCTCGAGCTCTCGACGAGGAATCCGCGCAGATCGACTGGAGGCACAAAAAAAAAACCTCAGACGTCGTGATTTGATCGAAAGTTACGATTAGCAGGCAAAGAGCTTAAAGAGATGGGAGGCGAGGCAAGACAGGCACGCAAAGAGAGAAGAACTGAGGGATTGCACACACACAGAAGAGGTACGATGGAGAGTCGAGGCTACGAAATGGCAGTGGCTGTGATGACAAGGCCGAAGTGGGTAGGATAAGCTACAGTGGGCCGCGAACTTGGAGCACAGCCTGTCTGTGACATGCAGCCGCTGTGGGTGGACGATTAATGCAGGTCATTTTGGAGATCGCTGTATTTGCAATGACGAGCGGTATTTGCTTCTTTTGATATTCTGTACGGGTATCTGCTTCATTGTTTGTTCCTAGAGATTATCCACTAGCATGCAATGTTGGGGCTGCCTTGTGTCCAGGCACAGTTGAACTCTCTTTGATTTTCCCTTTGGCGCCAGCCCACTTGTGCCAATTTAACACGCTTCCTCTTGATAGTAGAGCGCTTGCGAAGCGCCATATAGCACATCGACTCTTACGTCGGCCTCTTTTCACCTTTGAAGAGTAAGAAGCTCGAGGACCAATTTTTGCACAACTGACAGAAATGGCGTGCAAGTCGGTCCATCTTCCGCCGGATCCTACCCGTAGTAATTGGAATGTTCTGGTGCGAGACCAAGGCACACTGGTGATGAATCCTGGCTCTTTCTAGACTTATTAGTACTGGTAGTGCTGATATACTCTGAGGAAGAACGATTCATCTGTCTCATTGAAATTGCTTTGCAGTCCTTGGGGAGCGTTGATCATCCAAGTACTTGAGTGGCTTGATTCATGATTCTGAATTCGCAATTTGCCATTCGCGATTCACGGCACTTCATTGTAGGGGCTGGCTGATGGTGGCTTTGCCAGGTGTGCATGCCGGGCTGAGCCTCGGGAATTCCGACTGCTTTTTGATCTCCTCTCCTGGTGTGACCAATCTTCTTTTGTAGATACGACAGTCCGTGTACATGCATTTATCATAACATCAGGACTTTGGATCATTCTTTTGTTGCCAAAGCAATAGCAGCCATGATGGCCTTTAATCATCACAGCATACCCCATCTAGTAGCATAGTAGCTCAGCATCTACCCCGTAGTATGTAGTATGAGCCACTTAATTGTCGCTAGCAGCTCCTCCAGATCCCTCTCCAAACTTTCACACAAGTGCCTGCAACTGCGGGCAAAGAAGAGGGCGCCAATGAATAAAGTATTCGCCTCATCTGCTTAAAGCTTACGGAAGCCCCCGCTGGGCGCAAGGCTACCTACTGCGGAAGGAGAACGCCTCAAAGTCTGTGCGCCCCTTGTCTTGTTGCCGCGGACCCTTGTTGCTCTTGGCTTCTCTCCATCTTTCCCGTCTTCATCTTCATTGTCATCCTCACCACTGCAAACCACTGCAAACCACTGCCACCGCCCGCGAGTCCGAGTCTCTGGTTATTTGTGACCGGACACCCAACAAACCGAAGCAACAAGACTTACACCGACCGACCAAGCCCGGGCGAGAACCGCTTCCTGCACCCGCTCCAACCATTCATTTACCGCTCGCTCGGTGCGGGTCGCTCGCCCATCATGGCTGATCTGATCGACCCGACAACGAAGGGCAACTATCCGGTGATTCTGGGCGTTGGGCTGCTGGGCAAGCCGTCCAACGAGATCTTTACTGGCATTCGCTGTAAGTCGCCATCGCCGCCTTTGCATTCTTCGGCTTCGCACCCTTTGGCATGCTGCCTGGGACAGTAAACAAGCATAACCACCTGCTGACACATTGGCTTTTCTACCGCGCAGATAACCACAAGCCTGCCTTCCCGCAAGCCGACGCACGCCTGAAGCCTTCTATCCCCGGCAAGACGAGCTCGTACGACTTGAACTTCTCCAGCGCCGAAGGAACAGTAGGATTTGCCGGAACGCGCTCCACTGACGACGGCGACTATGTGCTCTACTTTGACCCCGAGCGCAAGGCCTTTGTCCTCGACAAGGTTGACTCGACCTTCAACATGAATCTCACGCGCACTCCTGCAAACAGCAACCCCGACGATCTGCGCCGGCGACACCCTCACTTGGGAAGTGGCCCGTCGCAAAAGGCGGGAGACCAGAAGAGCGCTTCAAGCAAGGACAAGTTGAAGTCGTCAACAAAGGCCGATAATGACAAGAGCATCACCGTACAGACCAAGGAGATGCAGAAGAAGAAACCGTTGGAAAAGAAACTAGGAGAAAAGAAGCATACCGACAATATATTCCTCGAGAAGAAACCTCCTCCCATTGAGAAGAAATCCGCGGACAAGAAGCTCGCTTCTGAAAAGGAGAAGAAGCCACTAGAGAAAGAGAAGAAGCCAATGGACAAGAAGCTGTCTCAGGAGAAGAAGATGCTGGAGAAGAAGTTAATGGAGAAGAAGTCGACCGATAGGCAGTCAGAGGGTAAGCCGTTAGCGAAGAAGACGGTCGAGAAGAGCGGCGTCGAGAGAAAGATTCACGAGATGAAGAATATGGAAAAGAGGCTTTCAGGGGGCAAGTTTGACAAGAAGCCACTGCCCAAAAAGATTGAGCTTGCCCTGCCTGTGCCAGAACCACCCAAGCCGCAAGAGTCTCGGAAGAAGAGAGATGATGATGACGACGAGGAAGATGACGACGACGACGATCTTCTCATTGAGTATCCGGGCGCAGAAGCTCCCTCCCGGCCGGCCCACCATTTCTCGCCCGCGTTTCCCATCGCCCGTCGCTTCGATGACTTTATGGATCAGCGTGAATCTGAAGTGGAAGAAGACGATGAGGCCATGGACGAGGATACCGAGGCGGCATTTAAGCTGCCCAGCCCGGTGAAGAATGGCAGCCAAGCTCAATCGGAGCCCATGGATGTTGACGACGAGGAAGAGGAGGAAGCCGAAGAGGGCGAAGAGGCTGGCGAGGCAGGAGGTGCCGCGGATTTCGAATACGATCTGGAACAAGAGCTGGAGAATGCTTTTGATCAACTGGATAACAACGACCAGGACAATAGCAACAGCAACAGCGGCTACTACTATAACAATAACAACGACGATGATGAAAGCGAGATTAGCGAAGAAGACTAGACGAGTCTTTGATTGCCAAACTGTTTGTTTTGGGCCGTGATCCTATTGTCATCATCATACGGAAGACGAAAAAGGAGAATGCGATGGAATTATATGAGTGTGTGATATTGATGTTACACTTTGACTGGGAGTTTGATACTTTGATTAATATGGGCTTTTCCTTTTCCTTTGTCGGAATCATAAGCCAGCTACGCTTGATACCACCAGCGAGAGATGAATTCTTTCTTTTCCTTTCCTTCACCTCACTTTTTTTAATCAACACTATTTTTATGTGGCAGCGGCTTCGTTTTTTTTTTTTTTTTCGGCATAACGAACATGCTATGGGATGGATATACACACGAGGTTCATCAGGTAGTTGCAACCTTTTATCAGGTAGTTACAATACAGAATCATCATTGATTTCCAAACATATGTACAGCTCATTCATCATCCCCTGGATATCTGCTCCCACGTAAATGATCCGTAACACCAGGAATCTCCCTTTCACAAAACAGATGCCTCTTGGCCGACGTCAACAGCGGCCCGTACTTTTCCAAAACGGGCCTGTCGAAGCAACCCACCGTGAGGCAGATGTTCTCGTGGTTTTCCCTTTGCCAGAAGAGCAGTCCCCCGCAGTTGCTGCAGAAGCCGCGCTCAAAGTGCGGCGTGGCCGAGTAGAGCTTGAGCGTCTCCTTGGACGTGAACTGGACGGCGGATTTGGGGAGCCGGTGGGAGTAGAAGATGAGGGCGCCGGTGTTTTTGCGGCATTGCTCGCATTGGCATGTGGTTGACTGTGGCGTTGGTTGTTATCAGTTGTCAATGAGGATTTTACTTTTCACACGCTTTAAATGTTGAATGTATAGAGAAAGAGAAAGAGAAAGAGGAATATAAACTCACGCTGTCGGCAAAGTCGTGGTTTGGTGGGAAAGTCGCAGTGTAGCGAACCGATCCGCAGAGGCAGCCGCCTGTGATTGTTTCCGGTTTCTCGTTTGAAGAAGCCATGATCTCTGTAAGTTGAATGATTCTCACTTCACGTGAAACTGGGGAAGCGTGATAACAGCGATGAGGCTAGCTAGTGTTGAGGGCTAATAGATGTGGTATAAGCCAAAGTTTGTTCTCTAATGTTTTGTAGTCTCACGAAAGCGAATTTTCTCTCTCTGATATGACAGAATCGCCAGCTATTTATACCCCTCGGAAAGTTTGTGCGGTTCTGTTCTGTCAATGGCGCCTTTCACGGCGGTCCCAAAACTGGTTCGCGCTTAGGTATGAAATCGTCATATTGATGCTAGTGTAGTTGCGTCGCGGAGATCTTCAAACTAGGCGGGCCTAGTTATTCGAACCGGCGCTTACTGATGCCAAGCTAGCTGCTTTGCAAGCTCCATTTCCCCATGTTCCTCATGTTGAAAGAAAGCCATTCTCCTCGTACCCTGAAACCAAAGGGTGCATATTGATAGCAACACAATTCCTATATACAAAGCAAGATTCTGTCCAAAAGTACGCTAAACAGCTTCCCATCTTGCCATCCAGCCGATATTTTCGCCGGCATTCCTCACAATACACAGTCTCCCCTCCTTTGGGTTCGCCTTGATGTCTGGTACCACCTTGTCCACAGCTATGCTGCCAATGGCGGCCCCTCGGCCGTTGGCAAGGGAAAATGAGCCCGTGGTGACGAATCCGATGAGATCTGCCGCATCGGGCACGAGCGGGTGGCCTCCAATGTCGAACTGGTTGGGCGGCAGCGAAACGGTTTCCAAGTCTGGCGGCGGAGCGAGAAGCTCCTGTGCTAGAAGGCGCTTTCGCATTTCCATGTCTGCGTGTTGGGAATGAGAAGATGAGGATGATTGCGGCTGCTGGTGTTTTAACTTTGCAGAGGATGATGATGAAGAAGATGAAGATGAGGGTGGGATACGAGACAGCCACTGCAAACGAAGATCGAATGGAAGTGAGTGTGATTCTGGCGGTATGCTTGCAGGGACTTCGACATTGGAAGATGTTGGTATGGAAACGGACACAGCAGGGAGGCGGTAGATTCTCGCGCATGCGCCAACAACACCTCTTGAAAGCAGCGAGATGCGGACGCAGGCGATTGGGTTGGGAGGAAGTGGCAAAGGTGCCGCGGCGGGTGATGAAATGAGGCTGTTGAATGTGGCTTTGGAAATGCTCGTCAGAAGCTTGAGATATGGCATCTCGTCGACGCCAGCATCTTTCTTGGCAGTGGCTGTTTGATCGACATCCATTGCCTCTCCTGAATCGTCGTTGACTAGCGGAGGACTTGAGTTCCTGACATGGACCCGCTGCTGCTGCTGCTGCTGTCCAAGACCAAAGAGGAATTCAAAATCGCAAGCATGTCCGTCACCAATCTCCCCCTGCCGTCCAGCGCCCAAATTGAGGGACGCCCATTCAACCCTCTTGCTCTTGGGACGTTTCGCCCAGTCTCTCTTCCGGATTCGCCTCCGCTCAAGCTCCCATTCCGCGCCGGCATCCGTACCGAGGAAGTCGGCCGGGAACCACGGGAGGCTGCGCTCAAAGGCGACCTGCATTGTCTCGTTCAAACCTGCGAACCGCGGGTTGCCGCCCGACACGAGCGGGCAGTGAACGATGCTGTACCACAGAGGGAGGATGCATTTCCAGGGAGCAAGGAGGGTCCATGTTCCCTGTGCCTGCGTGCCGACTGCGGAGCGAGATGCAATGAGAGTGATTGGAATAGCAGGGTCTATAGCTGCTGTTGGTTTCAGAGGCACTCCAGGGGTAATCTTGCTCCTTCGCCTGTTGATGGACTTTTGTGATGGCAAACAGGAGGCTTTGTGGCGGGCATCTCGGTCGAATAGGAGTGATGGCTGTAGATTTTCTTCAGCAGGCCAGCTGGCGATGGTCTCTAGAAGCCGCATCTGTGCCTGTTCAGTCTCTGGGAATTCCACTATCCGCGGCGGGTATCGCAGTCGAGGATCTTGAATGGTGAAATTTAGTACTGAGTTGTTTGGTAGAGCCGCTGGATTCGTCAGCCCCCTTAGTGATTCGAACAGCTCGGCATGCTTGCTCTTTGGATTCGACCCCGAGGGCGAAGGGTATGTTGACAAGACAGATAGCAATGCCTCGGTGGATGCGGGACCAGAAAGCTCTATGCTCCCAATCTCGAAGCGAAGATCCTCGATATACAGGCGAGGGTTCTCCATCTTTGTCAAGCGCAGCAGCTCGTTGAATAGCTCCAGAAAGGAGGAAGGGTGGACTCTGATGAGAATCCTCCTCTGGATCTTTTTCTCGTCTCTCGCCTCGGCATCTTGTTGTTGTTGTGGCTCAGGGTCCCAAACGACAGTCGATTGGCACATTGGCCGCTCCACTCCAGCTCTCTCTCTGCTCAAGCTGCCAACCCAGGCTCGTGTGCCCTGCCTCCATTTTCTGCCTTTGTCGTTCCAGCATGAATCGTGCTTCAACCCGACCTTTTTGAGGACTCTGGCCATGCCGGCGTAGTTTCCGTATAAACCAATAGTACTCATATAAGTCATGTCCCAAACCATGGTGCCTCGCTCTCCCTGAGCTCTGTGGGTTGGTCGGTAAATCTTCTCGTTCGGTGTTAGGGGGATTGCGAAGCGCCAGAGAGGTTCTTTGGGTTGTGTCATGCGAGCTCTCTTTGCGTGCCATCGATGCGTGGGAAGCCATGTCTTGTCAATCTGGCGCTTCCTAAACTTTGCGGGTGGCTTGGGAGGGTCGTTGAGCGCGTTTCTTCGAATCTTGGGCCTCGGTTTCCTCCCCACAACTCCAACATCTTTCGTGACTTGATTGGCGCTTTCAGTATTATCGTCGCCGGCGGAAGCCTCGTTGGTCTTCTTTTCCTTCTTCTTCCTCTTCCGCGCGGCGAGGATCCGTAATCTCTTGGCCGTCTGGGCTCGTATCCTCGCCCTCGTTGTCCTTGGTTTCCGCTTCCGAGACTCGACAAGAGGCGTGTTATCTTCGTGCATCTCTTTTCTGGCCCTCGCTCGCAGTCGTCGCGGCACTCGCTTGGGGTTGTGGCTCGCCGTCCGTCTTCTCAAGCCGCGGGGCACCTGCTGGAAGGCCCTGCTGCTGCGCACAGCCTTGGACGCGGCCATACTCTTCTCCAGCGCTCGGATCTCAAACTCGTGAGCGGCCACAAAGGCCACCAAGTCCAGCTCGCCATCCTTGAGCGCAGCATCGGCGGGCTGGGCTGGGATGTGCCGTGCGGCGTGGACCTTGGCGCGCTTCTGGAGGAAGGCGTCGCTACGACCGCCGGGGGCTGGAGGGCCGCGCTTTTTGGAGGCTGCGCCGGATTGCCCGCCTGTTGAGTGGCTGGACGCCATTTGAACGGCGAGTTGGAGAGCTTTGAAAAAGCCCAATTGCGCTCCTGAATGCAGGTCTGATGCCGTTGATGATGACTCTGGCTTGAAACTTTCTTGGGCGGAATGGCTTATCGATAAGCGCCTAGGTGAGCTGCTTTAGCTGTCGACCATGCAGCGACCCACTGAAGAAGTGCATTATCACAGCGGGCAACCTCCAATCAACTGAGAGCGCGGACGGACACTGATGCTGTGCTTCATGACATCACCAATAGGAAGATTTCGAGAAAGCCCTCCGTCCAGATGCTAGGCGACCCAAGTTGCAAGTCAATGATATTCTCCCTCATTCGGTGTTGGGATAGCGCTCCATTGGCTGCTTACTAGTCCAGTGGCAAGGCATGAGAGCAAGCTATTGCATGTAGGCATGTAGCGACAAGTATTGACCTTGGACGTAAATGGCTGCATGTGATGCCTGGCACTGTTAGAGCTGCTACAGAATGGGCTGCCTTGTCCGCTTCAGGCTACGCCTTTGCTCTCAAGTGCTCTGTTTAGCGAAGTTCGCCGCCTGTAATGGCCATTTCCCACGTGCTAAAGTAACAGCGACAGCTCAACATTTGCCCAACGCCACAGGCAGCACAGCGCACTTCTAGCCTAACCTCTTCTCCACCTTTCCAAGATCAAGACAACCTGGAGGGAGATCCAAATTGCTTTGGGATCGCCCAGATGCGCTGCCGAGTCTGCCGACGTCAATCACATTCAGCCTACACTTTTAGCTCTATCAGTTTCTATAATTCTACATAGCTTTCCACCTTTGACCTTTTTCCTCGAATTGCCATCATCCTCACCACCGTCACGCCAAGCTGGCAATACTGGAATCACACCCCTTGTCAGACACCGACGCTACGACCATCCGCAAATACGAAATCGGTAGGGCCGGGTTCATGTGTATAGAGCCCGTTCATCCCTGAAAGGTACGCGTATCCATAGGATGCAGCTCATCTGTCTCACAGTCATCAAATCTCATCTCATCTCGCAATAGGGGCACGCCGCAGCACGCGCTTCCAGACGTCCAGACTTGCAGACTTGCAGACTTGCAGACTCGCAGTTTGCCCCGATGGCGATGCAACGTCCGCATTCCAACGTCAAGCCGCGCTGAAAGCTGATTGTCAACCCCGATATCAACAGAGCCATTCCGCATTCATTCGCCCCCTGGTCATTTTGCCGTCCATCCGCCCAGCATCCTGCATCCCTCGCTCCGCATTCTTCAGTTCGTCTCGTGTCGTGTCATCTCATCTCACCAACCCCCACGCTCCAACATCAGGATACGCCGCTGGCCCCAGGAATCCATCCTCGCCGGCTAGTCTTTACCGATTCGATTCGTATTGCAACTACTTACTCCAACTACGACCTTTTAGCGCGTTGGCGGCTCGGAGCTTCAATTCCAGTTCCATTTTTTTTAAACTCGTCGCCTGCAGTATCATTTTCTGCAGCATCAAACCAAGGCATACTAGTGAAACGGCCTAGGCCTTGCCGGCATTGGTGCTTGGCTTCCATTAGCCTGCAATGTCTACCCTGAGTAAGCCAATAATCTCTCCCGTTTTGTTCGGTGGTGAACTATCACGGCCCGACTGAGCATGACGGGCTGTCATGCATGCGTGCGTGCGCCGCATGCTCTGCTTCCTTCAGCCTTTTCAGTGGACGTGGCCCCTTCTGATGGGTTCCGTCTCTCTCTTCCCTTCCCATGTTTTCTCTTTCACTGTTGTTGCTGTCGTTTTGGCGTCTCATGCTCTGGTCTATTTGCCTCTGTTATTGTCTTATCTTCAGCTCGAGTGAGCTAGCTTGGTGAAATTGTCTCTCGCTTCCCGGCATATCCGAAAGACTTGACTTGTTTTTGATAGACCTGTTGTTGTTGTTGCTTGCAGTTGAGATCTTGACGACTAACATGCCTTCTTTTCTCCCCTCAGTCGGCAAGGGGCGCAAGGTGAGCCCATTCGGTGTCCATCTCGGTGCTCACCCGTTCCCTCGTATCAATGAAACGTACCGTACCACTAACACTGCTGCCACTAAATTTAGCCCAAATTCGAACTTCATCTCAAGGTGAGCCACTTACTTGCTACCACTATACGTAGTTGAGATATTTTTTCCCTCTAACACTTGAGCCTCTCGCTCGACTACTAGATTTACGATTTAAACAACGTACCTCTTGTTTCTGGAACCTCATTTATCAAATGGCATCTGCCGCATTCTATGCATGCCGACCACCGCGGCCGCACGCCCAAGGCGGCCATCGCCAATCATCGGGTGGAATACAACTTCAGCAAAGTAATAACAGGCGTTCGCATGTCCGTCGACAAGAACAACAGCCTCAATGAGTGTCTGATAGAATTTGAGATTGTTCAAGAATTCGCCCTCACAGAGAAGATTACGCTTGGTCACATCAAGCTCAACTTGGCTGAATATGTTGAGGAGAGCGAAATCTTCTTGAGAGAGGTGAATTCCTTGTCTTCGACCAGAAAACGAACGAATAGCTCGGGGAGCCCGACGAGTGCCAACGACCTGAAACTATCTGATGAAGTCATAAGAGACGCTGAAGAAGGCATCATCCGCAGATACCTCATGCAGGACAGCAAGGTCAACAGCACTCTCAAGATTAGTATCTTGCTCATCCAAGTCGACGGCGAACGCAACTTTATCGCGCCACCACTCAAGACGGCTCCGGTGTTTGGAGGAATTGCAGGCTTCATGGTTCCGGAACAGACTGAGGATGAGATCTTAGGACGTAAGTCGACCCCTCTGCCTAGTTGGCAAGCCGTCAAACAATCACACACCATGCATCATCGAGATACTGATACTGATATCCTCCCTCTACAGCTCTGCCAACTCTATCTAAGAATAGAGATGTTGCTGAGGTTCAAGATTTGTATCGCCGGACTCTCGCAGCTTCCTGGACTCGGCAGCCCTCGGAGCTCCATACGGATGAGTGTATCGAGGACATCTTCGCCGGCGGAAACGGCTGGAGGACAAAGCACAGAAGCGCCACCAGCCCCGACTCTGAAGATGACGAATACGACGACGACGGCGACAACTCTGGCACCCTCCGGCCCAACGAATTCCGCCGCATGGGTATGAACCACCGCCGCAACCACTCCGGCTCCTCCAACCACTTCCGCCGCGGCAGCAACAACTCCTACCACCCTCCCAGCAGCCCGCGCCCTCACCACCACCGCACGCCCAGTGGTTCGAGCGATAAGAGCGTCTCGACCGTCACCGGCGGCGGGTTCGGCCGCCTCAAGAAGGGCGTGCGCATCCTCCGCGACGACGGCAGGGAGACACCCTCGCGAGACGACGATATGCTCAGCACCAGGAGCGTCGGCAGCCTCGCCAGTGCAGCGCCGACAATGGGCAGCAGCGAGCGCGAGAGGGAGCACATGAAGCGGACAAAGGAGATTCGGGAGGCGGACGTGAGGGATGATTTGGTTGCGTGGAGTTTACCCAGCATGGTGTCTGTGTGAAAGACGCAAAAGGACATGGGACTGCGTCTTCTTCTTTTTTTTCTCTTTCCTTTTTTCTTACATATATATATCTTGCGAGGCGAATTGTTTCTTGTCATTACTTGCCTTGTTTTCATTCCCCCCCAAAATATCTTCGGGCTTGTAATTATTTCAGTGCACATTGAAGTGTTTGTCTTTATGACAAGACTCCTTTCTTCCCTTTCTTTCTCTATGTTCCATGTGTAATTATCGCGATCAGGTACTTATCGGCGTTTTTGCCATTATACTAGAATAGGCTGCAGTGGATATACATACATACACATTGCAAACCATGAATACAGACAAACATATTTTTGATTAAAGAATTCTCTCAAACCACTTTTGACGTCAAACTCGTCATCTTCTTTTGATTCATCACCATTCTGAACCTTGGAATATATGGGATCAGTCATAGTTTTGTTCTATTTCCCTTCAAAGGCCTCAAAGCAAGGTCCTCTCTTCTCACCTCATAAAAGATCTATATAGTAATCATAAAAAGATATTTTTGTCCCCCCTCCCCCGCCATCCTGTTCGTTCGTTTCATTGTGACAACGTTTCTACTTCTACCACACGCATAGATGCTAATATGCTTGCCCCTTTTTTTTTCCAATTATTTCCCTCTTCTCTCTCCATTCTCTCTTTCTATTTTAATTTCTGTTTCTCCATTCCCTTAAGGAGCCTGGATGTTACCCCTGACACCACCCTTGCCACCAACTTCTCTGGCAGTAACAGTCACGCTCAGATCGGCGGCGACGTTGATGGTAACCTCAACCTTTCCGTTCTTGCCAACACCCTTGATGGCGGCCTCAGCAAGAGCCTCGCCAATCTTCCAAATCTTCTCACGCTTCTCCTCCTCCTCGTCATCATCGTCAAAGTCAGAGTCGTCCTCATCGTCGTTCTCTTCCTTCTCCTCCTTGGCCTTGGGCTCGGGCTTGGTGACCTTGATGTGGGTGCCACCCTCGACAACCTTGATCAGAACATCGCCGGTAGCGGCAATGTGCACGGTGCGGCGGGCGGGCACAGCGGTCTCGGCCTGCATAATGGGGGTGAAAACGTCCTCGCCGTCGGCGTTCTTGGTGACGACACCAATGGCGTTGGAGATGTGCTTGACGGTGGTGACGGCAGGGTGGGTGGACTGCTCGATGTCGGCGGCCTCGTACTCCTGGATCAGGGAGGCCTGGAGAGCAGCGCCGCGGGCCTGCAGGTCAGAGGGGTTGATGGCGGTGGCGCTGGTGGCAGGAGCGAGGATCTTGGTCGACTCGGGGAAGATGGACTGGAAGTTTGAGGCGATGCGAGGGGTGTGAGAGGTGCCGCCGCACATGATGACCTCGTCGACGTCGAGGACGTCGAGCTCGGCCTTCTTGATGACGCTCTCGACCAAGCGGTTGAAACCCTCAAAGATCTTGCGGGCAACCATTTCGTATCGTGTGCGGTTGAGGGTGGCGGAGAAGTCGAAGCCGTCAGCCAAGCTCTCGACGCTGAACTGGGCGTTGGAGCCCAGGCTGAGAGCCTTCTTGGTGGCCTCGGACTCTTGTCGGAGCTTGGCCAAGCTCTTTGTGTTTGATCGAGGGTCGACGTCGTGCTTCTTGATGAACTCCTTGGCGAAGTAGTCCATCAGGGCCTCGTCCAGATGGACACCAGAGAACTCGTAGTCGTGAGCAGTGGCGAGGATGGTGTAGATGCCGCCTCTTGAGGCAACAACGGCGACATCAGAGCGGGTGCCACCGAGGTCGGCAACAACAACAATCTTGTCCTCGACCTTGGCCTCGGGACGGGCATCGTAGGCCAGGACAGAGGCAACGGGGTCGGAGATGAGCTGCAGGACCTCGAGGTCGGCATCGTTGGCGGCCTTGATCAGAGCCTCGCGCTGCTCCTCGGAGAAGTTTGTGGGGACGGTGATGACGGCGGAAGTGACCTTCTTGCCCAGGTAGTCGGAGGCAGAGCCGACGAGGCGGCGCAGGAATCGGGTGGCAGCCTCGGACACGGAGATGGTGGAGGCCTCAGCGTCCTCGCCGGCCTTGTCCTTGACGGTGAAGGCGACGGAGCCAGAGACGTCTTGAGGGTGGGCAGCAGCGTGGCAGTGTGTGGGGTCGATTGACTTGAATCTAGCAGGCAGCATTTCGTTAGCACAAAGTCTTTCTCATCCTTTTCTGCTGCTTTCTTTTTCATCTTCATCTTCTCGCCTTCCTCTTTATTTCTCGACTCGGCTTTCACAAGCGTGGTGTATGGACGTACTCTTGGCCTAGGAAGTCCTTGAAGTAGGCAATGGTGTTGGTCGGGTTGCGGACCAGGAAGGCCTTGGCCTGAGTGCCGTAGTACTCATCGCCATCGACGTAGGAGAGAGTGGTGGGAATCTGTCGGTCTATAGGAAAAAAAGAAGAATTGTCAGTCATTGAGCAAGAGAAAAATACGGCCAGATATTGATCATGGCACATGAGAGGTAGCAGCCCCATGAACATGTTCCACCAATGTCCATCCTTTCAGTGGAAGGAAACACAAAAACATACCACCATCCTCGTTGGCAATGACCTCGGCCTTGTCGTCGACAGTGAAGGCAATGGAGCTGTTGGAGTTGCCAAAGGTGATGCCAATGGCGACTCGGTCACCGGGCTCGACGCCGGCCTTGACGCCGTTCTCAGACATTTGGGAGAAAAGGGGATTTTGTTTGTGAATTTTCGGGGGGAAAAGAATAAAAGAAAAAGAAAGACAACAAGCTGCTCGATTGTTGAATGTGTCCTTCAATTCAAAAAAGAGACGTTGAAGACGAGAGAGAGAGGAAGAGAAGTAGCGGATTGGATTGGACTGGTCGTTGGTCTTAGTGGAGGGGCTAGTTATTTTTTTTTTTTTTTTCTCTCTCTCTCTCGAAAAAGAACGAAGACACCCATGGTGTGGTAATAGCGCCAATCAAGCAAAAGAATGCCCCTCCAGCAATCATTATCTCTTATCCTACCAATCATATGCGCTCACATGCAAAAGAAGCTCCAGAGCAAAAATCGGCAATTCAACGAGACGCACGCGCGCAAGGCAAAAGTCAATCGCCGTCACACCTTCATTACTCAACTATTTGACTGATTGTCCTTTAATTGATTGTCTGTCGGCGCATCTTTTTGCCCATCATGTCTACAGAAGCCGTCTTTGTCCTGCCCGGCGACCACATCGATCCCTCTCTCATCCCCTCACATCCAAAGAAACCCGTCCGTCTAGGTCCTGGACTGCGCCATGTCCCTCCGAGCGAGCTTCTGCCAACGCTGGCCGGCCAGCTGGTGACGGACAGACAGAAGAATGCGATCCGGGTAGAGACGACCAGTGGCAGAGTAAGTCGCCTTTGCACAGCTTCATACCATGCAATGGAGGGCTATTCGCTTGGTTGAATCAAGTGGCTAACAAGAGCAGTACATCCCCCGAGTCGGCGAGCTCGTCATCGGCACAATCAACAAATCCGCCTCAGAAGTCTACTTCGTCAGCCTCTCCGACTACACCGCTCCCGCCCTCCTCCCCCAGCTCTCCTTCGAATCAGCCACCAAAAAGACCCGTCCCATCCTGGCCCCGGGAGCGTTGGTCTACGCCCGCGTCACTCTGGCCAACAAGCACATGGACGCCGAGCTCGAGTGCGTCTCGGCCTCTACGGGCAAAGCGGATGGTCTCGGGCCGCTGGTAGGGGGCATGTTGTTTACAATCTCGCTGGGTATGGCCCGCCTTTTGATGATGCCCAAGAAGGCGCAGCAGGGTAAGGTCGTGGTTCTGGATGAGCTTGCCGACGCCGGTCTCCAGTTTGAGACGGCCACTGGCAGAAACGGCCGGCTTTGGGTGGACAGCGACAACACCAAGACAATCATCGTGGTCGGCAGAGCCATACAAGAAACCGACGAAAAGTCTCTCGGCGCAGACGAGCAGAGGAAGTTAGTAAAGAAGCTAATCAAGGAGCTGAGTTGAGCAAGAATATACAAGAAACACACACAAAAAAAAAAAAAAAAAAAGGAAAATCTAAGGGGGAAAAAATTTAAAATTATTACAGCATATCAGCGGCTGTTTGTCTTGTTTTATTTTCAAGGGGTTATCCGCTCATGTTATATACCCATTGCGTACTGTTTGTCCCTTGCCTCAATAACATACATATGAACAGAGCAAGGAGAGGGAGAAAAAAAATAAACCTTCTCGCTTTGACCCGTTATCAAGACGTTTGGTATGGCACTCTTCCCCCCCCTGTGATAAGCAAAGGGGAGAAGAAGAGAGTTGTTTGTATAATACAAAATATAATAAAAGTTGATTAAAAAAAAACGCCTTGCGAGTCTCGCAAAATACCAAGCGCTTGCTGAAGCTCACACAAATGTCCCTTTTCTCTTTGTTCGGTGAGAAAGATATCCAATGTCGCTAGAAATGAAAAGAAGAAGGAGAAAAAGAATATGTTACCACTCAAAAGGCATAGAGGAAGGGATGCCGAGATTAGTAACAATTGAATAGTGTGAAAAAAGAGACGAAAGGTATCCTTTTCCTATGAGAGGACGTTCTCCATGATTCGTACACTCTCCCCGTCACCTGCGTTTTTAAGGAAGAGGGGAAGGCTTGGGTCATGATCCGTCTGCATCCATGTCGACTTCGATAGGTTCTGGAAGTGATTGCTGCTCGATATTGTGAATCTTCATCATGTGTCTCTTCCAGTTGTCTTTTCTGGGGAATGCTTTGCCACCTGCTCTGGAATAGTCACAGCCGGTGACGGAGCAGTGAAATTTCTTCTTCTTCTCGTGCCTGTCATTAATATGTCTTTGCAGATGAGTCTTGGTGCCGAAGCCCTTGCCACAACCTGGGTATGGGCACTTGTGGTCTTTGCTATGGTATCTCTGGTGGTGTCTAAAGCAAGAGTGTTAGTACCTATCTTGAGCAACAAAAACCACCATGGCAGTACAGTAAGAGGTGGTGAATCAAAATTACAAGAATTTTAAGGTCTGAAACGTACTTTAGTTTGTGTGGTTGGTCAAAGGTCTGGTTACAACCGGGCTCTTCACATCGGTAGACACCGGTCCTGGGAGAGTGACTACCGGCTCCCGATTGTGGTGACGCACTATGTCGGAAATCGGAGCTTCCCACGGATTGCGGAGAGGGAGTGTCCAGCTGAGTCGAGGGCGTGTTCTGGGATGAGACATCGGTAAAGGCAGGCCCGGGGAGTGGGGTGGACTGGTCCGAGGGGTAGCTTGGATGCCGGCCGTCCGGAGCCGTCAAGATACGGTCGTGGGTCGAAGGAAGAGCAGCTCCTGCATCTAGCATGACCACATCGCCAGTGTCGAGCTGCTGTTGGTCATTACTGCTGTTGGTACTACTGTTGTTGCTGTTGTTGATGTTGATATTGGCGCTGCCGTTATTAATGGAGTCTGGAATAAACTCGGTACGGTTTGTCGAGCCAGGGGTTTGTACTGTAAATGTTGGTTGTGCCTGTGTTTCAGGGGGGGTCGGAGAAGGAGAGGGCATGGCCGTGTCAATGGCGGGGTCACTTGGCGACGGCTTGTGGAAGGCCTCATAGAGCTGGTGCTCAGTCCTGTGCCAGACTTCGGCTTCCGTCGAAGCGGGCATGATGTCCATGGGATTTACGGTTCCAGGAGCGGCGACGGGAGGCGAGGGAGACTTTTGGAACCGCTGGTATGATGACAAGTCAGGCGGCTCTGGAGTTGTCCGTTGGGAAGCCGGCTCAGCTGCATTGCTAACAGGAGGGCTGACAGGCCCCAGCCTTGGCTCAGCTTCGGCTTCGGCTCCGGTGCCACGCTGCCGAGAAGAAGATGAGCGAGAGAGGGGTAGAGATACAGCAGAGAAGCTGACGGGAGACTCAACCCGGTCACCGGCGGTGATGTTGGTTTGCAGCGGAATGGCTCCGTTAGCCGATCTCTCGGTGATGGTTGCTTGAGAAACGGTAGAGTCCAGCGTTGCGTCCCTGCCGCTCTTGCGGCGGAACATTTGCTTCATGTTGTGGCGAAAAGAGCTGGCACGAGAAGAGGACAGCAGGATGGGAGACTCGAGAGGAGGCTCAGGCTGTGCAACCATGCCAAAGGCCTCGGATGGGATGTCGGGGCTGTAGTAGTCGGCGCTGGTGCCCTTAAGCACACCGGGCTGGTGATCTGCTGATACCCGCGGTGCAAACTCGCCATCGTCCAGGCCCAGCGGCAGGAAGGGCTCGGCCTTGACTCTGTGCTCTGCACCGAGGCCATTGCCGTCGAAGCCAGGATCGCCGGGCTGCAAGTATGCCGCATTCAGAGGGAGAGGATATCCATTGTGGTCAGCAGTGGCTGCTCGCCAGTCGTGATCGGTGCTTCCTCCGCGCGTCAATTCCCCCTTGTGCTTGTACGAATCGCTAGACGAGAGGCGCTTGGGGGGGCTGCTCGCGCCATTGGAAGCGTTGCTGCCGTGGCCAGCAGCAGTGCCAGCAACGGCCGCCTCGGCATCAGAGGCGGCGTGCGACGTGCCTCTGCCTATGTGGCGGCGCTTGAGGTAGAGGAGACACGGGTACAGGCAGATGGCCAGCAGTGCAACGGCCACGACGATGCCGACGGTGATGCCAGCAATTGCGCCGCCGCTCAGGTGTCGCTTGTGGATGTTTAGCCTGGCGTGGATGCTGCCAGACTGCTGGTGATGAAGAGGCCCATGCCCATGTCCGCGTCCACTGCTGTTGTCGTTGTCATTCGCGATGCTATTCCCATTCCCATTTCCATTCCAATTTCCATTTCCAATTGCCGCATGCCCAGTCGCATCCACGCTCATCGCAATCGCCATGCGGCGCAGCGTCTCCAAGCTTCGTGCCACGCCATGGCTCGCTGTAGCGCCCGCGGCTCGCAAATGATGGCCGATTGAATTCGTGTCGGTTGATGCAGCTTTGGTGGTGAGGGAGCTGGACAGGGCCATTGCTTCCTCGCTGCCCGAGAGTCGCATCTATCGATCGCTCTCTGGATCTCGAATTAGAGTGGGAGGCCGCCCACGGCCCGGAAAATAGCGACGGGTGTCTCTCCTGCGTGCAGGGGTTCGAGTGTATCAGCGATTCCTGTCTCCGAAAGCCCTCTCGTTCTAATTCATGGTGATGGAGGAAGAAAACACGAGATTGTCGGGGTCAGATTATTAACACAGGCAGATGAATAGGCAGAGGGGATCAGGTAAGAATGCAGGTCGGCAGCGCGCTGAGGCTTTGTAGTCTGTAGTGGTCAGCAGGGCCCTTCCTCTCGCTCTTTCTCGCCAAAACAGCTTGCCACGGGCAGGTGGACACAGGGCTGAGCAGTTCTGGAAAAGGTGCGGGAGCACTGGGGGAGCACTGGGGGGAGCACTGGGGGATAGCACAAGTACACGCAATCAGCGCCATTCGCACCCGCTGTTAGCTGCAAGCAGCAATAGTCGACGGCCCCAAGTGCATGTACGGGGAACGCGAAGCACTGCCCGCCTTGGTGTCCGGCACTGTAGCTCCCGCGCAGCATGCCACTAAATCCCCTGAAAATCTCGAATTCCAATCTGAGCAATTTCAGAGCGCATTGCCCACAGAGAAAGAAGCAATTCAGTGATGAAAGAGACGCAAACTCAATTGGCTCAGCCACAGTGCATCTTGTCTCAGAGAGCATTTTCCCTTTGCGTACAATACCCAGATCGTCGCGTGCTGTCAAAGTCAAGACTGGCCTAGTCGTAAGAACTTGCAATCCTTAGCCTGGACGCTACTCCCGCGCTGCCGAAACCTGAATTTGGATTTGGCGCGTGCGAATCTCGCTGCCGACGAGGGCGCTTATTGGAACAAGCTTGAACTCCAGCCAACAGAGAGAAAACTCGGGGTAGAAGCTGCAGCGCTTCAAACAGGCCATGCACCCAAGCAGGCCGGACAAGTCGGTGCTGGCACGTGTGTAAAGGGACATGTTCAGCTCAGTGTCTATTTTCTGTCGTCTCATCCAAGCCCGCTTGTCGGTGCCGGCAAGCAAATGATTCGATGACCGTCCACAACCATCTCCAAATCCTTCCGCGGTCCGACGCATGGATCAAACGCCCTAGGCCGAGATCATGGTACTAACAGATTCTATTCAACGGACAGATATCTTGGAAATCTTATACGTAATGAAGCATCTTGTGCCGTGGCATCTCCCGCCAAGCTACATTCACATGGTAATGGTACGCTTGTGTGAATAACCTCTGCATAGGTACCTAGCAGCAGAGGTTGCACTACTGCAGCCAAATAAGCCTTGCCATTCTGCCAAGCCGGAACATGCAACCCGCCAGCAGATTGACCCCCATATTTTGCTGGTTTTATTAACAAATCTACAGACTTCGGATCTAGTCCGTACGCGCAGAAGTTGAAGGCCAGTTTCCAGCATCACGAAACACATTGAGAGCACAATTATTGTGAGAGCTTTTGGATGCCTGTCTGTTCCGCCGCAGAGCCCAAATCGCCAATCCTATCGCCAAATCTCGGACGCAACATGTGAATCGAGCACACCAGAAACATTTGACACATACCGGAGCTTCTTCTCACACGTGGCTGGGCTCCACCGCGAGAGCTTGGTTCACGGAGCGGAGTCCGAGTCGCCGTTTCTTGTCTTTATGCAGCAATGATGGATACAGAGGAGTGGAGGTAAGTTGAAGAATTATGGGGGCCTTTTGGCCTTTTGCTGTATCAACTCGAATTATGAGGACATCATTGACAGACAGCTGCTTACCTCGGTGCTAGTACATGTGATATAACAGCAATAACATACAGGATTCAGATACCCTGACTAAGACAAACATCAAGATAAACATACAAGATGGTGACCGTACACAGGTACTGAGCGTTATAGAGAATTTTTCTTGCATTTATCCCCGTAGAGTAGCACCAGTAGCACCCATCAATGGGCACAGCCAACCCGCCCAAACAGTGGAGAGCGTCAAAACCGTTGACGCAACGGACCATGCCCGTTGGAATCAGAAAAGAGTCCGGCTGGCTCGAATAATGTGTCTCGATCCGGGGCGCGGGCCAGTCATCAGCCCGCAAGCCCAGTCCCCTTCGCCATTCACAAAGGAGGACGCGGCACTCTCTTTCGTATATCATAATTGCACTTTGCTCAACTCCCCGTAATTCAGGAGAACATCTGCTTTCATTATGCCTACTCCGTACTAGCAGTTCGCTTATCTGCTCCACCGGGGCGACAAGACAGAATAAAAAACAACCCTCCGTAGCGGCAAGAAGAAAAGAAGCGCCGCGTCGCGAAACACGCGAAAAGAGGCTGTGAAGCAAGATTGCGAGAGGCCTCTTTTTTTTTTCTCTCCCACTCCTCATCACACTGCATGCAGGCAGCCATTGTTATCAAGGACGTGCACAGAAACGATTCTCTCCTATTAGGTCTACACCCTAAATCAAATCGTATGATACAGCTTAACCGCTTGTTTGATGCCTCCATTTCTCCCATCACTAAACCCAATTGGCTTGATCACAGTCTTCCGATCTCGTTTATACAATTGAAATTCTCCTTTTCCCTTGCCCTTTTTTAAATACAGTATATCATATTTCTGGATCTCCAGAGTACCATATAATCATTCATCACCCGTAATCATCATCTCCCATGCAGTCGACTGTCATAATTTCGCTCTTCGTACATCATCATCTTAAGCCCTCCCTTTGTTCACATACTCGCACGCATATATACCTACACGTACACCATCTGGTAGTAGTACCTAGTAGAATGCCACAGTACTTTCAAGTATCATCGCAGGTGAAGTAGGCGCCTGTGCATATGTGCATCGCCCCAAAGCTGCGTAGTGAATTGTGTACGCCGGCATCCCTTGACCTGCCGATAATTCATGCGGACATGCATGATGATGACCTCTGCTTGTCTGGCACGGGTAATGGCGACGTTGAGTCTTTGTGCGTCGTCCATGAACCCCACAGACGATGTTCGTACCATGTCAAGAAACACAACATCTGCTTGGTTTCCTTGTGCTTTGTCGACAGTCAGCACTTGGACTCGGCTTTGCCACTCGGGAGGCCACTGCTTTACTTCTCCGAGATATTGGCGGTAGGCAGTGCTATACGGTGTCTGGATCATGATTGTTCCTGGCTCTCCTGAGAGGCTCTGGAAATCATCATCGTTTAGCAGGCACTTCACTTGCTCCGCCACCCAAGCATGCTGCATGGGGTTCCAGAAACTGTTACGGTGAATCTCCTCAGAACTCTCTGCAAAGCTCACTACCAACCGGTTCTCCTCCATGTTCCGGCATCCCGAGAGCTTCTCCAAATGCTTCTTCAGATGCATGGTGCTCGGCGGATACCTCTTCTCTTTCAAGTGCCCAGAGCTCATCTCGCCGTCATAAAACATGTCTGATGGAAGGCGATGTAGGTTGCCGTATGCCCGATTATTGACTAGTAGCTTCTGGTCGAGGGCACTTGCGGCCTCGGCTCGTGCCATCGTACTCAGCCGTAGCTGCTCGGCATAGGGGTTGAATTTCAGTCCCTTCTCCAGTGCCTTTCTCTCGCTGATGCCGCTGCTGTCGACAAAAGGACGCGTCTGCTTCACGTCGCCAGTGAAGATCCAAGCCAAGGGGTTAAAATATGCCAAAGGAATGAGAGTGGTCAATTCTCGCGCATGGGGTGCCTCATCCACAAAGACAATCTCGGGGCGAAAAAGCTTGGCAAAACTACCAGAAGCCGCGACTGGCGTTGTGGCAACAAAATCGGCTGCACGTAGGACGTCGCGATACAATTTGGTAACAGAGCCACGCAGCTGCCTCCAGTCTTCGCTATCCAGCACGTCGCCCTCGTCAATGCGGCCAAGGAACTTTACTAAGGCTGGGTAGCTTTTATTCTTGTGTTTCTCAAAATAGTCCCAAGCAGCCTCGTCGAGGTTAGGGGCACGCCTAGAATCTCTCTCTAGTTTCGCGTGATGGGTTAAACCGACAGTGGTCAAGAAGCTTTTGGTAAAGTCGGTTGTGGCATCGTCATCGACAGGCTTGCTGGACTTACCCTGGCTGCTAGTCTGGTTCAGTCTCTCAGAATGGCGCATCTCATATGGCCAACCGTGCATCCGTATAATTCGAACATCAAGGCCTGCCTCTTTACAGAGGCAGTGATATCTGTCAGCAGCGTCCGAGACTGTCTGGTTGATGTCAACAAGAAACAGAATCTGATGGCGGACTCGCTTTCTAGCAGATGACTGATGTGACTGTATAAGCCCTGAAATGACCATGTTCCACTCGGTCTTGCCGGCCCCAGGGCATCCGTTGACAAAGTAAATGCCATTTTTGATGCGACCAAGCCCCTCGTAGGCCGCTACGTGATCCTGGTTGAACTTGGCAAACTTGTCCAAGAAGATTGGTGAGATTTTGTAGGCAGGATTGCTCGGATTGGCAAGAGGAGGATATTTCTTAAGAAGGTTTGATATCTCGAGATCTGCCGCGCAGAACTGCTGAATCATGCCGAATGCAAGCCTCGCTTTGTGACTAGGTCCGTTTTGATCTTTATATCGTTTCGGAGTGATGAAAGCATAGAGGGCTTCGAGTTCAGCCTCAAATGTCTGACTGAAGACCTCCCAGCGTATGGAGATGTTCTTCTGGTTGGTCCCATCTAGGGTGATGCCAGAAAGGTCTCCTACAGCATCGGCAACTTTGAGATGCGTCATCAAGTCTAGCTGGACTTGTTCACCGTCTTCGGTGGATTGGCAGCGTGGAACTTCTACTTTGAAAGCAGCAAGCCTTTGTATAGCCTTTCCTTCGCATTCAGCGACGTCTTCGTAAGGATTGGTAATTCGAGTCGCTGGAAGATGATATAGCGTGTAGGTACCTTGTGGCAGCACGATGCTAGCATCGATGTCGATGTGGAACCGATCTGCCACAGTTGGAAACGTTGCGTTTGTCGACAGAGAAGGACTCTTGGCCAACAATAGCCAGGACGTAGAAAACGATGTCTGGCAACCGGGGATGGGGGCGATTATCCACGCCGGGTAGATATCGCCACGATCATTGAGTTTCTTTAGTTGGGACATTTCGTTGTGCATCTCAATCAGAGTGCCTTTCTCTAGCCGATGGGCGAATTCGTCTTGGGACAGGAATTTGACAAGGGGTAATTCCATCTGTTGCCCGCACTGGATTTGTCATTAGTATCATCCGTTGAAAAGGTAAGTGTCAACGGTGTCTAGGAAACGCTGACTCACCTTCGCAGAGCCAACGATGGCTTCTTTTAGAGGTTTGACGACCATGTTGAAGAAAAGTCACGACAGTGACAAGTGACAAGAAGCAGGCAAACGAATGAGTCGTACAGAGAAATGGTCACAAAGTCTGAAACAGAGATAGGCCGAAAGAAGTCCAGGCTTTCGGACTCGACGAGCAGGTAAGTCTTTGTGAGATGTTGGATCTATTTCATGGGTCAGAAATTCTATAGATTTCTTGCCTCAAAAACACAAGAGGGAGCTGAGGAAAGATGTTGAGAGTACTTCAAACAAAAGAATACACGGAAAAGGCGGCGTGAAGTCGAACAAATATGTGCTGTTGGGAGTTGTTAAATCGACAGACGGCCGAAGACAAAACAAAACAAAGTGCCTGAGAATTCTTGGTCAGCTCAAGGTTCATGGAAAGTGGGAAGTGGAAAGTGGAAAGACAAAAGCTATGCATAAAGACGAAGGAGAAGGATGAGAGGAAAGAAAAAAGAAGGAGGTTTGGCGAAGAAAGAGATGGCTGATATAGCTGCTCACCGTGGTTCCTGCCAGAGGCCTTCTGGCGTGCAAATGCCCGCAGATAGATAATTCGGCACAAAATTGAAAGCATGAACAAATAGAAGATGCAGGGTGATAAACGGGTGCGTGATTCAGAGCATAAGAAGCTTTGGGGGGCGGTCAGTTGGTTCGCAGCCCCAGGCACCTGTTCAGGGAATTCTGCCAACCACTGGATTCGGAAAATGCAGCAGCCGGTGTAGATAAAGGTAGCGATAAGCAGATATACTGAATCAAATATTGATATGAATTTGCCATAACTTGAGACTAACAAGGCCATTCACGCACATATATCACTGTGCACTTGGCCTCGATCATAATTATCTCGTATTAAGTTTCCAGGAGAGATCTCCGGCCACGCCCTCTCTACAGCAACTATACCTACCTATATACATTAACAATATACAATTTTCCCCCATCCAACAATTTCTGTGGACTTAGCCATTACTACTAACGCTTCTCTCGTACTTTCTCTCTTGGCGTTGCCATCATCATATATGTAAAAGACGTATCAAATAGACCCCATGCTTCATCCCGATTTCCAAGCGAGGTTGCCGCATAGAATGAATGGTATACCCATGCAGTGATGAAAAGATCAAAGTATCCAGCAAGTATATAAGCTCAGCATTATTCCAGACCAAGCCGTAAATAGAGCCGAGAGGGCATATCTAGCTCATGTAAGATCGATGATGCAATTGTCTCTCCAGTGAACATATCGAGGGCGACTTTGCGGGCTGTCAATTTCCATGATATCTTCATCCATCTCGGGTGACGAATATGTTCCTGATGATGTTTGCCAACGGAAAGAATCGTCAGAGTCGTCAGAGTCAGAATCATCAACAACCATCACGCCGTCAGCCATCGGTTGGTACCGCCTTATTCCGTCCTGCTTCAGAAGCCACTCTTCTAGATGCTTATACAGCATCTGAACTGTATTGGAAGGAAACGCATTGCCAATTTGTCTCCTGATGCATGTTTTGGTCCCCAAGAACCTATGGTATTTCGGAAATCCCTGGATACATGCGTATTCGCGGACTGTAAAGTCTCTCGTTCCGTCAGGGTAATATACCTCATTGCCCCCGGTTGTGATTGTACCTGCCAATCCGTCTGCGTTGAGCGGTGGTCGGCGCGGCTGGAAATACTTGACATTGTTGAGGTCATGTAAATTGTCGCCGAGACGGATAGAATTGATTGCTTTCCGAATGGTGGTATACGGCTTCAGGCCGCCGGCTCCGTTCTCAGAGTGCGTGGGTTGAGGGAAAGGAGGCAGCTTCTCTCCTGGGGCAGCTGCAATCATAATTAAACGCTTCCTATCTTGAGCCAAGCCCCAAGTGCAAAGTCGAACTACTTTCCATCTCACGGAATACCCATGCTGCGTAAAGTCTCCAATCAAGGCTCGCAGGTACTGGCGGTGGCGTTCATGAGTGATTCCAAACGTCTGCTCGAGAGTAAAGAGTCGAGGCCGTAGCTTGTCGACCAGGTCAATACATCCATACAGCGCAAAGATATTCGTGTCGTCGTGCGCAGACTGGTGCGTGTGAGCCGGTGAAAAGTATTGGCAAGGCGGAGACAGGTGCAGTACATCAGCTCGCATCGGCCTATCTTTCGTGGCCAGGATAAACTCGTCAACGGACATCCGAAACAGCTCTGTATCGCGAAAATTCGTCTGATAAGTCTCCTAGACATCAGACCACTTATCCACGGCATATTGGACCTTGAATCCAGCGCTCTGAGCGCCGCGAGATACCCCTCCTGCCCCAGAGAAGGAATCAAAAAGGGTATACTTTTGACCTATCCTTCTGCTTTGTGTGGCGCAGCTTGAGTCGGTAGACAAAGGCCGGCTTTCCAAGTCGATGATGTTTGTTCCGCTCTGTGGCCACGATCCTCCCTTAATACGTCCGCCGCGCCATCGGTTGCACAGAGTCTCGTTCGATACGCGATACTTGGGCATTGGTACTTCGTCTAGCTGGACGCGCTCAAGAACTTCTTCTTCAGGTCTGGTAGCTCGACTGTGATTGTGCATGGTGAAGTATATCGTAAACTTCCATCGGCATACAAGGCTGCTATTTTGCTCAGCTCGCCGCTGTCGCAGATTTTCGCTAAGAGCAGGGCTTCCTGTGCAACAGTGTTCTGGGTAAATCGAGTTGGTGAAGATGACATCTCTTTTTTTGACAATCGAAGTAGAAGGGATGCTGACAGAAATTGCTGGCAGCTCGTTTCCATCATTTTGCCTCTGAACATGAAGTATCATGCATATCTCGTTGACCTTTTTTTGGACCTGTCCCTGTAATTTCCTCGTCCGCACAAAGGGGACACCACGAATGTTGTAGTCGCCATTTTGACCGCGAGCAATGATCTGGATTTTGACGAAATCGATCTCGTAGGTTCCAAGCTGAACATCATGAACCTCTATGAAATCTCCACGAGTCAATGTAGCGCCCAACGAAGGCTCACGATATCTCTCTATGGACAATTCGCCTTGGCGAAGCAGACTGTTGGCGCCAACTTCCAAATCGTGTCCAGTGAGGTCAATGACTTCTTCGTCGAACAATTCCACCAAATCCTCTACTCCTGGGTCTTCTTCTTCATCGCTTTCTCGACCAAGTGTAGCTGAAGACGATGCTCTTGACCGGTCCCGTGAAGCGGCAGTACGCGATGTGAGAAATTGCACTTCGGCATCTTTTAGATGGTCGGCTATCGTCATCCAAGAGGGCATTTTAGAGGAGAGAAAAGAATTGCAAATAGGTAACTCAAGGGAGAAAACAAACAAAAAATGATAGGCTGAAAGGAGGCAAGTCGAAGCAAAGAGAGGCTGCTATTAGTCCAAGGTATAGGTACAGCGACGAGGGCGAGAGGCAAGCTCATGGCTAGAGAACAAGAAAACCAGGGGATACCGGGATAGATATTATTATTTTTATTGAAAAAAATAATAATAATAAATCATCCGAAATTGTGAGCTGAGGCTGAAGAGAGCCTGGCGTGATGTGACAAGCAAGTGAGCTCCCATCAAGAATCGGCCGTGCAGAGAGAGCCAAGGGCAGCAAACAATTGGCCAATTTAGGGGCTTTGGGTTACACAGACAACCGGCACGCTGCAGGCAGCCGTAAGTGGTATTGACTCTTGCAAGATAACGATTTATGCACCCGTACAGTATTTGCACATAAGGAAACATCCATATACAAGAAAGAGTCTGTAGGCATATCCCATCATCTACATGTACAATTGCTTCTCCCTATCATGCGACTGCTGATGAGAGCAGCGAGTAATTCATCGCCAAGTACATGTTTACCGGGTAGCCGCTAGAGAGCAGGCGGAAGCATACAGAAGCAAACAACAAGCAAACAAAGCTCTGACTCGTTGGGAACCGGGATAACTACTTGGCATCCTTCTACTTGGTATTCTCAGCTAAGAGAAGCTCTCGATGTATATGTTTATGCGTGCCTATTGCACGGTAGAGATGGGCAAATGGCTTAAGATTGATGTCAGTCGAGCTTGTGTATTTGCACCTGAGTTTACTACTAGAAGCAGTCTTCAGTGTTTCCTGTGAAACGCCTAGTACGCTAACCATGCACGGGCACCCATTAACTTTGGCCTACGCCTAAATCCACGCGTTAGAGGGTGCTCATCACCGTGCTCTGTCCCTTGCATGCGACTACAGGTGCTCTTCAGATAACGATAACACACCTACGAAATGTACATACAGATAGTGCAGCGCCTCTGTTCCTCGCCATACCGGACCCTGCACATCTGCTTTTGCGTAACCAAATAGTATATAGAAAAATACCGAGCGTCTTATTCTTTGCGAATCCCAGCTCACATTCGCAGACACGCAAAATAAAGACGCTCGAGTAGAGGTATCCAAATGTCATCGCACGGGGCGTGCGCATATATATATATACTAGTAGTAGTAGTACCTTACCTTACAGCCGCGCTTGTACCATTTCCCCACAATAATCTTTATCCTTAGTTCGCGATCTCTCACTTGTCTTTGCGCTTCACATAACACTCTTCCTGTGCACTTTTCTCTTTTCCCCATTGCATCTTCCTGCCCTTTCTTTCCAGTGTGTCGCATTCTTTCCCACTCTTCTTCGTCTTTCTCTTCTCCCTGTGTACACTATCGCACTTTCATATACAGCAGGCTCTTGCTCACCTCTCTTGCTTTTACGCCTGGCAGAAAACTTCCGTGCTTATTTTGGCAGCATTTCGCTTCTTCCCGTTTGATGCGACTTCTAGCAATGGGCTGCTGCCTGGCTAGGTAACTCTGATACACCATGGCAGACATCAACGAGGTGCTGGGGAAATGGTACGAAGAATTCCAGCAAATCTCTGCAGAGGTTCATCTCCTCTGCCCGCGCATCAGCGATGCAGACGACGAGAATTACAAGAGCCTTGATGATCCCGACTCTCGGATTTCGATCGAAGACAAGAAGTCCCGGATCCAAAAGGGCAAGGAGCGCATCGAGATTACCTATTGGAACAGTCTGATCTTCGGCTTCGACAAGGAGGAAGCCGGCAAATGGTTGGATGAATTCACTGAGCGGCTTGAGAGCGCTCTCAGGAACTGCCCCGAATGTGTCCTCAATTGGCATATGAAGCGTAAACACCATCTGCAGGTCTTTTCAGAGTAATGATATCCCGTTGCACTCTCAACGAATGTGTGCCTCACTTGCTAACATCTCTGATCTAGGCGGTGGAACGAAGATGCCGTCGGACAAATCCAAGCGCTACTTGACAATCTCGACGTAAATCGAATCGACCACAATTTGACCTGGGCGAAACAGTTTATCGAGAAGATCGAAGAAAAAGGCACGGTTTTCAAAAAATCACAGTTCGGCGACAAGCTTACCGAAGTTCATATTGCCATCTACGAGGCCCTGTGCTGCGTGCCCTATCTGGCGGACACAAAGCAACGAGCCGTGTTCCAATATGTCTTCCAGCGCTTGCAGGGCAAGTCCTACCTCAAGCTTGGAACAAAGGACCCGCTGCCAGGAATGACGTTCTTCTTGTTTGACCAGAAAAACGAAGACCGCCGTAGGTGGGCGGCAGAAAACTGGAAGAACATTGAAAGTGCTGGCATGACGGAAGAACAGTTCGATTGGGCTGTGAATGATGGTCTGATCAGCTCCGTGGAGTACATCAGCAAATGGGATCCATCTCAGGCTAACAGCGACATTTACCTCGAGATTGAGCGCTTTTGGCATGGCTTCGAGGCCATCCTTAGGACCCTTAATAATGAGATTATTCTGAGCCGCCTCCGTAGTCTGGAAGCCCCATTGGGGAACTTGAACATCTACGACTTGCTATTTCGACACATCCAATTCTGCCGATCCGAAGGCGTGCTGGTCATCGCTATCAAAGTCCTTAGTGGCTTGTTGAAGAAATCACCGAAAGCATTCTGGGACGTCGTTGGCGACGCTCGGCCCAATGTCATTGCAGATCTGGTCTTCGGCAGCCCTGTCTATAAGACTCTCCTGCGGCAATCCCTCGAAGATTGCTGGTCCGTCGAAGATTCTGGGACTCACTTTACACCATTTCCTACTTCCTGGATTCAGCCTTGGCTCCAGTCCCTCGGCCGCGATCGCAGGTACGATGCCTGCGAGGTCCTGATGCACACACTCTTCGAGATTTTGGCAAAAGACTCTAGCATCGGTGAACCTGGCCAAGCTGCCTGTGTTCGCGCCGGCTTTGACGCGCTGACCTTCACCATGAAATCGTTCCTTGATTCAGAGACCCAAATTGCGTCTGGAAGCACTCATCTCTACGCTAGTGCTGCTTCGAGTCTTGTTGTCAAGCACCTCAGCCTCATCCTATCAAACATGAAAGCATCTGGACGAAATGGAGAGATTGAAGGCTGGACTACATTCAAAGTTGCCGAGGCCGCCAAGGAAATGATGAGCGCCGCTATGAAGCTGGACATGAAGCTCCTCTCTGAAGAGTACCATGCCGTTATTGCTAACAAGCCGCTCCAAACGGCCATCATCAGAAACTCCAAAGCCTTCTGGGAAGGTGCTTTGGAAATGTTTGATACATCATCCAGCCAAGTTGCCGTCGCAAAGGATATTTTTGTGTCGCTGGCGCCGCTTGTGGCTGTGGAGCAAATCAGGCCGCGAAAGACTGATAATAAATTAGAAGCACCTGGCCAAACGTTCAACAAGGCTCTTGGCGATACGGCGGATGTACTTGCCAGGATCTTCGGCCGGATCTCTGAGCTCGATGTTATGGATTTGAACGAATTGTATACCGATCGAATACCTTTTCAGGTCACCACTGCCTTGTCTGTGCATGAGAACTCAGATCTTGCGGAGGCCTCCGCCGAAGTGCTCAAGAGTTGGACTGGAGAGCTCTCCCGAAGCGGCGCCCTGGAGCAGATGACGCAGCATCATCCCGACCAGACGCTCGCATCCATTGTCTGGTCTTTGGAGCGCATCCTTCGTCCTCCCTACCCTTGGGGCCCGATCAGACCACTCCTGAATATGAGCAAAGATGTTTTAAGAGGCCTCGCAGATCCGTCGTCAGGAGTACTCAGAGTCAGGACTCTGGATTCCAAGTCGGCTGCCACTGTTCTGCGGTGGTGGAATGAGCAGTGGCGCTTTGTCTCCAAAGCATGTCTCAATATCGAAACATGGTCCTTTTATATCCCCAACAGCATCATGACAGAGTTCTGCCGAGAAATTATGGAGCTTGCCGAAGCTCTCATTGCCGAGGATGGTCTGCTCACTTCCGCAACAGCGCTTGGCCGAAGCGAAACAGACATGATGGCCAGGATCCTGGCTCCAGCAAAGGACAACTTTCGCGGAATGGAAAACATGATCAGGCTCAAGGATCGCTGGCTCGTTGATGTCACCGTTCGCGTTCTTTGTAAAATCCTCAAGCGACTCCGGGAAAATGCTCTCGAAATCAACTCAGCCTCGCGGAAGCTCATTACTGATGCTTGCCTGCCAACGGCGACCCCGGGAAAATACGTGCGATCTACGAACTTGACTGATCAACAGCGTGCGGAGCTTCTTCAAGCTTTGGGCCAAACAGATGAAGAGATCCAAGCCTACCAGCAAGAGATGAGTGCTCAGCAGCGTCAAGAACGTGCACTAACCGACAAGGCTAAGAAGCAAAGCAAGCTCGACGCCTGGTCGAAATCCGCACCTGCAACTGCTGCTTCTGCCACTACTACGGCTGCGTCCAAAGCTGCACGGTCTAATCGCGATGATGTGATGGAGTTTAGCAAATCAGCTGATAACCCGCTTCTCAAACAGATCGAAGCACGGCAGGCTAAGGCCAGGGCGGCCAAGGTTCCTGACCTAAAGGCCATCTCAGCACTCAAGGAAAGCAGACAGAGGGAGAGGCTTGAAAAGGCTAGGCGAGATGCGGAGGCCATTGCACGAGCCCGGGCTCTTCGTGGGGAGTTTGTCAAAGGCGAAGGTTCCGGCCTGCAGGGCCTGGGGATCACTGGCAAAGATCATTCACGAAGCGAAATCATGGTCAACAGCTCTGATGAAGAGTCCGATGCTGGTAGTGACGATTCGGATGCTGACAATCAGCTGGCTGCCTTGAGCACTGGAGGCGAAAAATCCTTGACTGATGCTGAAAAGCGTCGCCAACAGGCTCTGCGAGACAAGCTACGGCAGCCCGTGAAGAAGGTTAGGCAACAGCGCTCCGTTAAAGAGATGAGAGCTCGACTGATCCCTGCCATGGATCGGCTCCATAATACTGTTCTCGCGTGGGATATATTCCACGCTGGTAACGATCCTCCTAATGGCCCAAAAGCCTCGGAAGTTGCAACCAAGTACTCTGACCCGCGGTCGTACCAGGAGACCTTCTTCCCTTTGCTGGCATCTGAAGCCTGGCGTTCGTTTGTCACCTCAAAAGACGAGGTAACCGCACAGCCGTTTGGCATGAAAATTGCTAGCCGCGCAAGCGTGGATAGCTATCTTGAAGTGACCTTTACAATGCCCATCCTGCAATCTCGGGAACGTGGCGTCTTCGAAGGCGACATACTGCTTGTCTCAGAGGCAGAAAACCCTCTTGTATTTGAGTCAGCCAAGCACTGTCTGGCCCGTGTCCATCGTATGACTTACAAGAAGGACACCGTTGAGGTGACATATCGCGTAGCGTCACGTAGTAACCCTCTCTCCCCCACTCTGACTCCTGGTGCTACTGTGCATGGCGTAAAAATCACCAACATGGCGACCATAGAAAGAGAGTACGCTGCCCTGGAGAGTTTACAGTATTATGATCTTATGGACGAGATCTTAAAGGCGGAACCGTCGCCCATTCTTCGCTACGGAGAAGAGCGTGTATCCAACTACATGGGGAACTGGGCTCTGAACCAGGGACAGGCCCTCGCCGTACTTGGCGCACAAGAAAATGATGGTTTCACTTTGATCCAAGGGTAAGGATATATTGGCTTTTCTTTTTTCTTTTTCTTTTTGCGCTGCTCGCTTTGTCTGTTCCCATTCCCAGCATGTATGCGCTAACTGTCTTCTTTTCTTATGTATAGTCCCCCCGGTACAGGAAAAACCAAGACCATCGTCGCTATGGTCGGTGCGTTATTGTCTGAGCAGCTCGCACAAACTCCTGCTGCAGCGACCGGAGTCCCTCTTGGCGTCCCAATGAGGCCCAATGGTGCTCCCGGGGGCAACCAAGCCCGACCAAAGAAATTACTCGTTTGTGCCCCGAGTAACGCCGCTGTTGATGAGCTGGTGCTTCGATTGAAGAGCGGGATCAAGACCACGAGTGGCAAATCCCGAAACATCAACGTTCTTCGTTTGGGAAGAAGCGAGGCCATCAATGCCGCAGTCAAAGATGTCACCCTTGATGAGCTGGTCAAGAGTCGTCTTGAAGGCGATACGACCAAGGATAAAGCAAAAGCAGACAGAGACAAGCTTCACGAAGAGGCGGCTGAGGTGAAGGAGCAGCTCGCACAGCTCAGGCCACGACTGGAGGAGTCTCGAAACAACGACGACCGAACATTGCACAACTCTCTGTCTAGACAGTTTGACGAGCTGAAACGAAAGCAGATGCAAATCGGAAAGCAGATCGATGCCAACAAGGACAGTGGCAACTCCATAGCTCGTGAGATGGAGCTGCGTCGCCGACAGATCCAGCAAGAGATTCTCAATTCCGCTCATGTTCTCTGCGCTACTCTCAGCGGAAGTGGACACGAAATGTTCCGCAATCTGGATGTCGAGTTCGAAACCGTCATCATCGACGAGGCAGCGCAGTGCGTGGAACTGAGCGCCTTGATTCCGCTCAAGTACGGATGCTGCAAGTGTATACTAGTCGGTGATCCCAAGCAATTACCGCCTACAGTCTTGTCGCAGTCTGCGGCTCGATTTGGCTACGATCAGAGTTTGTTTGTGCGGATGCAGCAGAACCATCCAAAGTCTGTTCACTTGCTTGACATGCAATACCGAATGCACCCAGAGATTAGCAACTTCCCCAGCAAAGAGTTCTACGAGTCCCAGCTCCATGACGGCCAGGATATGCTGCAGCTTCGCCAAGCCCCTTGGCATAAAGATACTCTCTTTGCGCCATACCGGTTCTTTGACGTGGAAGGTGTGCAAGAAAAGGGCAGAAAGGGCCAATCTCTTGTCAACACAAGAGAGCTTGAGGTGGCTCTGCAAATGTACGAACGGTTTAGCAGAGACTATCGCGACTGCGACCTCACAAGGAAAATCGGTATAATCACTCCCTACAAAGCACAGCTCTACGAGCTTCGATCTCGGTTCCAGGCCCGATATGGCGAAAACATCACAGACATCATCGAATTTAACACCACAGACGCTTTCCAAGGACGAGAATGCGAGATTATTATTTTCTCCTGTGTCCGAGCTAGTTCCACGGGCGGTATTGGTTTCATGACTGACATTCGCCGTATGAACGTCGGTCTGACGCGAGCCAAATCGTCGCTGTGGATCTTGGGTGATTCACGAGCTCTAGTGCAGGGAGAGTTCTGGCGCAAATTGATCGTAGATGCGCAAGAGAGAGACCGATATACCAAGGGTGATATTCTCTCCATGTTCCGCCGCCCACTAGAAAGGGCGAAGGCAGACGCATACGTGTCGTCATCTGGCAGAAGCTCTGCTGCTCCAAGCGTCGCCAATTCTCCTCGACCTCCACCTCAGCAGATGGATATTGAGATGAGAGATGCGCCCCCCAGTGCCGGCAACGATGGAATTCCAGGTGTGACAACAGCAACTGGCTTGAATGCTGTCGTCCCTCGCTCGAGCGGACCACCAATTATTCACACTTCAGGGACGCCAGCCTCTGCAGATGGAAAGAAGCGGCCTCTAGACTCCCCGGAGCCGAATCAGACCGTAACAAAGAAGGTAAGAAGAAATACCAGCATACACACTGAGTAGCCATAGAGCAGACCGAGTTGACACCATGAATAGGTTGCGAGCGATGCTTCGCGACCCGGCGGTCTTATGGGCAAGTTTGGCCAGAGGCCCAGACCGATCAAACCTCCAACCGATCCTTCTGCCATGTCCCTGCTAGGAATGGTGCCCCCCGAACGACCTCCGCCGGTTATCGATTCTGCACCTCCGCCAGTGTCGAGGCCGACTCCACCGACTGGTCCTGCTGCGGCGAGTGGCAACCAGGTAAGTGTTAGCTGAAGTGGAAGAGAGGTATCGCCAGCTTGTATTTTGACTGATAATGATGCAGGTCAATCCACAGGCACCCCAGATTCCGCGAAAGAAGAAGAAGCCAAATCCATTCCTTCCAAAACGGCGCTGATGGCTCACAACCTATTTCCTTTTGCTGCCTTCTTTGCGCCTGCTCTCTTCTTTCACCCCCTCTTTTCCTCCCTCCCTCCCTTCCTTTGCCTTTATTAGCAGCTTAAAAGAGCTCATAAAAATCCCATTATTTGGCGCAGAATTATCTTTGCTAGATGGATAATAGATCCACCGCTGATATTCAGATCAATAGCAGGGCATCTGATTGATGCCTCAAGTGGCAGTCATCTTGCTTTATCGAGGGCTATATCCTCGGCAGCGATGCTTGAAGCTGCTTTATCGGCATATGTGTTTCTTATTTTTCTTTTATTTGCTTTTAATTTCTTTTCGTTCTCTTCTTGGGAGACACATAATTGTTGAAAGGCAAGCAATGAGGCACAAAACCCTGGCTCTGGCCCTTTTATCATACTTGTGAGAATGGAGTGTACATGTGTTAAAATACCAACCTAAACTAACGGCAGAATAGCGTGGAAGTTCTTTGGAGTGAAACGGACGAAAGATATGGGAGCGATGACAAACGTGTTCTCCAGCATGTCAGATTGTCTGGTGAGACAGTACTTGGAAAGCCAGAGCGGCTTTTTCATGGCAGTATCGACTATTCACTAAAGACTACAAAATTTTGATAACTGCCTTACCGGCTACTTCAAAAGGCAACCTCGCCAACAATCGGGTGCTTCATCTATGAGAAAAAAGATATACGATTGATAACGAGAAATGTGACTAAGAGAGAGGTCCAGCATGGTGATTATACAGAAGGAGGCTTTAGAGGAAAAAGAACCGAAGACGGAAGAAGGCAAGCCTACGACTGTCACTTATTTTCGAAAATATTACATATTGATGGGCAAAACATGACTTTTTTGGCGCTTTATTAGACAGGACTAGGTGGAGGCAATGGTATGAGACCATTTGATTTGCATCTGGGGAGTTTTTAGAGCATAGGGCTACGGGACGCAGACCTCTAGGGCTGCGGATATTCATCATTTATGGCGTGCACCTATTTGGAAACGGCCAATGTTGGATAAGGCCTCGGTGATTATGGCTTTGAGCCTTTGGGAATTATGCCGATGGAGATTGCTTCAATTTTTAGATAGACTAATAGAGGCGCTGCCGACGTTCTTAAATGATCAATGCTCCAAATATATGGGGGGGAGTTAATTATCCCAAAGGCTGTCCGTCTATCACGATCGAGGTCTCGTGGCTAGAATATTCGCTGAAACTCTGATCTTGGCAACGGGCTGGACGTGGGTCCTAGTTGGCAGGATGGCTCTTTTAATACGCCAATTTATCTAAAAATCACCGACATTCATCGTAGGGATGCAGAAAAGGCATATTCAAGAATAAGAAGTCATTTGATCTTCGTGCGATGTCGATAAAAACGTCAATTGGTTCAAATCAAACTGACTAGACGAGCTAGCTCATATCAAACCATGATTTCATCACATTCCATAACCCATATCTCATATCTCATTACAATGCAGGTACCATTATCTTCCCTAAGAAGCACAGATTGACGCTCGCTAGCAAGACTCGTGTTTCCCTCCCAAGTCAGTAGCCAGCTGGGCAATTAGCCTGCAAGCTAGACCTTCTTCTTCAGAAGCTCGGAAAGCTCCTTCTGACGGCGACTAGGGCCGGTAGGGAAGACCCAGTTGACGGGTTTATTGTCGCTGGCAGGCGGAATATACGTAGCGGGTCTGTCAGTCCAGCCAAAGCCATCGGCGAGAGCCAGGATGTCCCAGCGGAGCTGGCGCAGTTCTTCTAAATCGAAATTGTGAGTAGGTGTGATTTTCGACTTGAGGGAGCAAACAAAACTTAGCAGTGGTATTCGATACTTACCTGCTACTTTAGGGTCGCAGAACTGGCCGTTTTGGCCGCGAGATTTCGGGTCTGCAACAGGAGGCATTGCGAAGTTCGAATCTAGCGTTGTCTAGTGTGAAGCTGTCTCTGTTTTAGTGGAACCGGGTAATAAGGATGTGCAGATCACGAAGACTGACATGACTCTCGCGGGCTCGTCTATGACGATGTACTTGTTGGTGTGTTTTAGTTTCGGGTTCTGGCAGCCTGAAACAAACTTGCTTTGAAAAGTGAAGAGGAAGAGAGAAGAAGAAGAGGAGGAGGAGGAGAAGGGCTGCCAGATGAGCGGTGGTGCTGAAGAAACTGCATTTTGGCAGTGGTGGAAGGAGCAACCACCTGCAGTCTGTCAAGTGTCAACTACGGGCTATCAATTGGGCACTTACAGTGCCTACCTTAAGGTATGTAGGTAGGTAGGTAGGTACTTTACGCTGAAGTGCGGCTGCCTACGATACCTGAAGATCGCTAACAGTGACTTCAAAATTCCTCCCCTTTCTACTTACCTCTCAACCTTGAACAGGCATCTATCAGCTTGACCTCTCGCGGGCACTTTCCTTTCACCAGTCTCTTTGCTGTTTGTCAGCGTAACGGTCTATCGGCAATCCGGAATGCAAGCCTTTCCTCCTCTCGCTACCAAAAAAATCAACCAAAATGAATTGCAGGCAGGGAGCAGGGAAGGGCATGGCGAGCGGACATTTCAAAAGCTCCCAAAAAAGACATGGAGGAGCCACTTCGTACCCAGGGTGGATAATTTCGCCTGCAGCTCCGCGTCCCCTTGCATTCAGGATCCAGGTCGCTACCGTATGAGTGCCGGCATACGATCATTACTGGCAACAGTATTGTTAGCGGGCGAGCCTGGCTGGCTCTCCTCGCTCCTCGTCAAAGGATGATGCCACCGCGGCTCGCTAGAGCTGATACGAGCAATAGCGTTGGATGCTAATCTGGCATCCAATGCGTCCAGCCAGCTTAGCTCAGCTTTGATGGTCCTGCTGTCTGTATGCCGGAGCGAAAGACGCATCCCTTCGGAGAGCCTTCAAGGGCACCATTGCTGCTCCCTACTTTGTGCATACGGGTAGCACCAAGACAGCGGTCTATAATTACGAACCCATGTCGGAAAAGACTGGCAGAGGTTAGAGACGACTCCACGGCAATCAGCGGACTGGAGCCCCAGATCCCTGCAGCCCACCCGTCATTGTCATCATCGCTGCTTGGTTCATCTCGGCTCGTCTTTTGGCTCTCAGTCGAGAACCGGCAGATGACGGGCATTGCAACCGCACACGTGTGAAGACAGGGTTGGCAAATGCTTCTAGATAGTCGGGACGGCGGCCCTTTTGGGGGATGATGTTCATGCTGAAGATTCAAACAATCAATGCGCGAGCCGGGGCAGTCGTGCGGGGAGGGAAAGACAGCGCGAGATGTGATCGCTCTGCTGGAGCCCGGAACTTGGTTTCCAGCTCGTCAATTACCAGCTATCCTGCTGGAAACAGCCGCTTTCAAGGCCGTCCAAGCCATCGCGTCGCTAGTCCTACTGGCTGGCCAGCTGTAGCTCATACAGCCGACACGGCCAATGGGCTCTCATGGCGGACGACGCCACCGAAACGGGGCCACCCTGCGAGCTAAATTGGCTCTGGAGATACCCGCTGTGCCATTGGAGGTGCTCGCCCTTGGTGGCTCGCTTCTGTACCTGCTCAAGAGCCGGGGGTCCGGGGATGCTGCTAGGCAGTTGCCAGGGTGCCAGGAAGGTTGAGGGCCTCCTCATCAAAAGGTGACCCGATGTTTAAGGAGAGACCCATGTCATTAAAGACATTGGCTTTGATAATGGCTGTGAAAAGTGATCTTCAGGGCTCCGGTTCTTCACCATCTTCACCTCCTCCGCTTTGGTGAGCTGCGGGCCAACGCCGTCTCGCTCCCTTCTACTACTACTACTACTACTACTACTCTCTTTTTTTCCTTTTCTTACACTTCTTTTCTTTCTTTTTCCCGTCTTCAGCTCTTCAGCTTATACCTGCCACCCGAGCGTTGCTTTTTCTCCATCAGCGTCATCACCTCCCTTCGTCTTATACGTAAACCGGCTTTCTTTCAACCACTATACTCTATTCATTCAGAGAGACGTCTAGACCCGCTTGGTGTTAGACATTACTGAAGTTCCCATTCGCTGTTTTCTATTTCTTCTATTCCCTTTGCTTTTTTTTATTTCTTGGTATCTTTGCCTGTTTTGGCCCGTGCCTACCTCGCCTCCCACCATCCAAAGGCACAGCCAGGCGACTTCTCGCTTCCCCTAGTCGCCGACTGAGACATACATCTGCCCTATCGAGGGCGAGAGAGCCCACGCAGTTCACAGCTCGGCCCTGAAGCTTCCGACTATCGTATGCACTCTAACATGCACGCTTAGTCTGGTAGTGTTCATAGCCACCAGACGGGCTGTCAAGGCATCCTTCAAACGTTCCTGGTCAGGGAGGCTCTGAGAACTAGTGGCGTGATTCGAGCACGCAAGGGCGTTGCCACCTTCATCGGCGTTCTGAGTGCGTACAGAGTACAGCCCTGATTGTCGGCTGTTCTGTTGATACGATAACTCGTCCACTAGCCCACTCTATTCGAGGAGCGACCAAAATGGCGAGTGTCGAGGCAACATTTTTAGCACCGTGGGTGGGGGACCAAAAACCACCTCCATCACCGCTTGCTTCTAATCCTGTCGTCTTTCGTCGTCGGTACAGTACCGGTCTTCATATCTTGGATCGCAAAAAGGAAGACAAGAGAGCTTCCATGATCGAACCGTCAGTCATGACACCAAAGCTCATGAAGAGCACTTACATTGAAGATGATGACGATCTGGACGACGATGATCTCGACAAGCAAGATAACACCATGAGCTTGGCTGAATTTTTCAAGTCCAATGACCCACCGTCGGACAACTTCATGTCGGTTCCCTATTCTTACGGAGAAGAAAAAGAGCGAGAGTCCAAATGGCATAAATTCATGAGCATCAAGAGAAGAAGCAAATCCGTACCCAGGCCGCCGGTGAATATCCAACTGCCAGACTCAGCCGTGTCAGGTGTTACGAGCGGCGGACACAGACACATTGCCATCTCGATTCCTCTCGATGCCATGCCGTTTGCAACCGATTCAAAAGCACAAGACGATACGAACGTCAAGAATAATACCGGTGTCAAGTCGGGAGGGGCCAAGACCACGTACGGTACTCTCCCACGGAATTTTGCGGTTCAAACATACTCCGAAGAGAATGGCACCATCACCGTTTACCATCCAATCACAACGGAGACGCCCGAAGGATTGGCCAAGGCTCTTGCTTCACAGCGTAACAGCATTCTGTCCCAGCAATCTGTTATATCAGCATCAAGCTTGGGTGAAAGGAGCAACCACACCCAAAGCAGCCATCGACGGTCCAATAGCCAATCTACAGGCTATTCTACAGAAGCATCTACAGTAGCCAGCACAAAGAGCAAGCAACCTCACTACTTTAGCATATTCCCAAAGCCTACTACTCTGCCGCAGGGTCTTCACCCAACTCCCCCAAGAAGGCCGAACAGTCAGCAGCGATCAGCACAGCGATCAGCAAAAGCAACGAGCATGGTGGTTGCTGCCAGTCAAAAGCATCACCATCCAGCACATTCGGCTTCCATTGACGGTCTGCTGAGTTTAATCAAAGACGAGGAGAATGTTCGGGATGGATATAACAAAAAGCCACTGCCATCCCCACCTCCAAAGAGCGAGGCCAGAAATAAGCAGCAGTACAAGCCGGGCATCGGATTTCCCTCTCCCATCACCGAGGAAACAGATGGCTCTTCAGTAGGCAGCAAGCGTGCCGTTCGAAAGGCTGTATCTACTCAATCAATGCTATCAGTTAGCAAAGAAACGCCTTCTCGTCCCTCAACAGCAGGCTCAATACAGAGTCGTCGCGATAAAGTTCGAGACAAGAAGAGGAGAGATATGGAAGCTGTACGAAACGCAAAAATGTTAAAGGAGCTGCAACAACGACGACAATCGGAATATAAGCAGAAGGGTGAAGAGGTAGAAAGTGCCGATGCAGACGAGCAAAGCAAAAGCAAAGGCAAAGGCCCTCAAAAGGCATCCCCCATCTACACGCTCTGCCCTATTGTCGTCGTTGCTGATCTTCAGCCCTCACCGGGATTGCCTCAAGAGACTCCCGTCTCTACACCACGTGTTTCCTCACCACGCGTCTCTTCACCAAGCCAGATGCGGCTTTCTCGCGACATTGACAGCGAATTGTATCTGGAGCAGAAGCGTAACATGATGGACAAACAAATCTTACGACTCTACGAATCTTACCACGAAAATCGCCTCCGGGATGTGGAGCGTCGCATACGCCGCCTGGAGCGCAATGGCGACGTCTGGCTGCGAGCTCTGGTGCCCGTGTTGGATGACATGAGCCGTAATATCAAGTCTATCAATCCATCACTCAACACCAACAAGTTTACAGATGCGGAGGGCCGAGGCTGGGCTTCAGACGACGAGGTCACTGCAGAGCGCAAAGCTCGCAGTACCAAACGCAACAAGGCGACAACAAGGAGAGCCAGCTTGTCTCGAGAACGGATTGCAGCAGGACTGGTTGGCGAGAAGCTGATGTCTGACGACAGTGAATGGAGTGACACGATGAGCAGAAGCGACGACGTAAGCGGCCTTGGAATCATCGAGCCTTTGATGAGGGAACTGGCTGGCGAAGCACGACGAAGACAGCAGCAGATTGCTGAGAGGACGGCTGATGACTGGCGTGGCAACACTGTATGAGTGAGAGGAAGAAGCTTGTTTCTTCTTTTCCTGCCTTTCCCTCCTTCTTTACTATTTCTTTTTTTCTCTACGTTCTTTGTTTCTTTTGTCTCTTGAAAAATAAAAGGGTTAGCGAAAAGAATGGGTGATACCTTTCTTTGAGGCGTTTTTGTGGATTTCTTACGTCTCTATATGTCGTATTTGATTTTTCGAAGATTTTAAGTGCGATCATGCTTTGGGACGGATATCATACCAGCCATGGTCGTATTTACTTACCTACATATACCCGAACAACGTCTTGACTTTATCTTAGTTTACCTACTCTACCATGTCACATAGTGTCCTAGTATTAATTTTTATTTTGTCTAAACACATTGCTCCATTCCATTGATTGGATTCTTCTCTTCTTACCTCAATGAACAAATAGGTGGCATAGGCGGGCGATGGCGAAAACGTCGATAGGCGTCCATGGGGCGAGTCAAGTTATCCACCTGAGCTCCGATTAATTCAGTGTGCTAGACCTGAAACACTGCGGGACTACTGGGCTTTGCGAGGCATTCTGTAAAATGTCAATATTCGTTTGCGTATGCGAGAGACTCCAATCTTTGCTGCTCTGGCTGACTATAGTCGCATTGAACGCAATTACCGACTTCAATAGCTCCAGACGCATTGGTAATGACTTTTTCTCTAAAAGGATTTCCTTCAGCATGGTTGCTGTCACTGCAGCGAGCTTGAAACCCACCGAGTGCCTTCTTATTGTCCCCTTTGATCTGCATGACTTCAGAAAATGCAAGGGCTCTGTAATTATACCAGGAGTGGCAAAAAGAGGTAGGAAGCAGCAGAGAATCAACAAGTCTAGTAAAAGTTATACAGCCCTTTTGGTAGGCCCGGTGGAACGAAGTATTGAAACGAGGTAGTGAAAGGAGTGTCCGGTGGCGCTCACTTCAACAGATCCGCATACACTCTCCTGCTTGGTAGTCTGCTTTACATGTGTCGGTTGTGGATTCCTTGATGTTCTTTGTTAGGATATATGGCCTCATCGTACTGTCAGGCGAAATCTGTCGAGGTAGTCATTGTAAATGCGAAAATGGCGTGCTACTTCATTGACAGATTGCACCGTCTTCTCGGAGGAGAATACCCTCTACTAGCTCGTATAGAAATCTAATGAAGGAATGTCTCTGTAGTTCTTGCGTTAGACTTCCAATCTTTTAGGTCCCACGCATCAGAAATTGGGCCTACCAAAACCTCGGAGAAGTAGGATTCATCTTCTGGCAAAGCCGTCTTTCGAATATAAAAAGTCTCCTAGACAATTCATACGGTTCCTGAGATGGATCTGAACTCTCTTCCGACAATGTTTCAATGATTTCTTTATCTCTCAGCTGTGTGAGCATATCGTTGGTCGATGTATTATCCGTTAGAAGTGAGAGGAGGGCTTGAATGCCAGGTCAAGTGCTTAGTAGACTGTGGTCGGCTGTCCGCACTCCAGCTAGTTTGCGGCTTTGGCGTATTGGAGCATGTTGTAGATGAGTTAATGGATGTCCCGTTGCTGATACACGTTGAAGTGTATATCTTGCTGAATTCCAGTGATGCTGTTCTGAGGATGTCTCAGTCTGCCTTGGATGGGTGTCTGCTGTACCACACCAGTGCTCTGCCTTGGAGGTGCAACGCCTACATTCCCGTAACAGGTTTGTTTCTTCTAGGAGCGGCTAGGTGCTTTGTCCGGTCGATGACGGTCGATGATGGCCACTTGCCGTCGGAGAGGACACCAAGGTTAGATATTGCAGAGCTTTAAGGGCATTTCATGAAGCCTATGTCTGTCTCGCAGCCAAGCGACTTCTACACTCAAAATCCTTGTTTAATATTGGTACAGCCTATAGCACCCATTGATATGTCTCGGGTTCTGTAATCTGGATGTTTTCGTGTGGTGAGTCGGCCTCAGAGATTTTCGAGAACTAAAGACGCTCCTGCGGAAGAAATGGCGGGAGGTATTAGATAAATGAACCATATCTCCGCACTGAGCGGCGGCGAGATAGATGGTATATGTACCAATAATCAGCAAGCAAGGGCCTTACTCACGAACTACCTCAGTCAATCCTAACTCAGCGTTGCGGGTCTCGACTTTGTGCTCGCTCAGCTAGAAGTTGACAGCAGCCCTCATCAGAGACCCAGGAAGTCAAACCAAGAATCCAGTATACCTTCCTTCACTCTCCGAATTAGCTTTTCCACAGCCATCTTTTAACTTTGCGACTGACAATGCGCAGTCCGAGGTTTACGTCGCCCGCAATGCCATGAAGATCTCCAGTCAGTATTTAGATGAGATTGCAGAAATCTGAACAGCTTATAGGACCGAAACTGTGGGCATTGCCATCGATCAAGCCTACTTTTAGATCCGCAAGTGTGTAGTCTAGTACAAATATAGCAGTCGACAGTTGGAAGGATAGAGCATTCTTCCAACCAGAGGAAGAACTGCCATCTAACAACTGTCTTCTGCGCTGTGTGATACTTGCTCCAATGTTGTCTTCTCTCTCACCTCTCTCGCTGAGTCAATTTGCGTCTTACTAAATAAGCATATGTGAGATTTCCTGACGATACTGTATTGCTAAACAAGACTGCTTGATGGATCGGAGCTAGTTGAACCACCTTAACAAAATTCTTCTTTGCAGATTGACATGGTTGTGAAAACGGAAGGCTAACAAAGCCGGGGTGAGATATTGTAACAGAGACACCGTGAGACTAGTGGCCTGCTAGAATGTGATTTGGCAGAGGCAGTTTGACATAGCCATCAAAAGCTATGTCTGTAGTCTTCTTGGGGCTAGTTCAAGTATGATAACCGGACAATCCAAGGACACTGAAGAAGAAGATGGTAATAAAGAGCTGGCTAGGATCTCAAAGGTATCTCGTAGCGGCAAAGGTGATACTTGCCATATCTCCAATCTTTGAGTCTTTTACTTCTTTTGGAGAAAAAATAAAGTCTTCGGGAAGGAGATGTTTGGTCCGAAATGTTGATATCAATTTCAAACCAAATCTTGATAGCGACAAAAACAGCATGATTCTGTTTCCTGTTTCTTTTTGTTACGGCAGAGAGAGAGAGCGCTCATCTTGTCAACCCAGTCACTACAGATTCAACTTATGTAGCATAGTCTACTACGTCTCAGCAATTGTGTTCTCGCTTCATCCATGTTACTGGATCAGATGAGCTCATTGTTCCTGGATATTGCTGAAAGGCTAGCGATTACTTCCATCTCTGTCTTCGTGCTCCTGTGACTTCGGTGTACTTTCAGTTTTCATGACTTGGCTCTGTGGGTTGGCCAAAATTGGCCACAAGCTGGCATGCCTTCCGGGTAGCTTCAAGCAAGCAAGGCAATAAACGTATTGCTTCTGGGGAGCCCAGAGCTGAACCGGTCTGCCAGGTCCCGACCAGGTTGTTGAGTTCAACCGGCCTATCTCGAGGCACTACGGTCTCAGCTGAATGATTTTCGGTGATGCAAACCGGGAATCAAGCGACACTAGAGGTCCATGTCTCAGCGTATTCTCATTCTAGTTGCTCGGAGCCACCAGCAATGGCGTCACAAACTTCTTTTTGCTTCGGTGAGTGACGGCAGCGCCCTGCTTCTACGCAGACTATTAGACCGGATCGTGTGATGTCCGGGCGGCTTGACAAACAACCAGCAGAGCTGGCGCTTCGATGCCTCTCCTTGCGGCTGAGTCTGAGACATGGCTCGTATATTCACGTCAAGGTGTTGGAGTAATTCCGGGCTCCTGGTAACACAAGCAAAGTGGCTATCATAGGCAGATGATTTGGCGGCTGGCAAGGATTTGAAACATGTGTGCAATGAAATCTGAGTGCCCTGTTGCCTTGAACGAACTCGCCACTGACTCAGATCGGGCTCAAATCGATATTCACCGCTCAAAGCGACAGCGGCTGTGATAACCCAGGAGAGGCCCCTTATTGACCCCCCCGGCCTTGGACTCAATGGCGCGCCTCTTTTCCTTTCTCATCGCGTTGATATCGGCCGTGCTGTCTCTATTCTCCCAAGTATACACATAGGCTAGTACTTCGTCTAGAGTGAAGAAATCAGCTGGCAGGGGTGCTATAACACCAAACACCCCACTGATCTGTTGATGAAGCCCACGGGACAGACCCCAGCCCCGTCCATCTTTTTCAGCTCTTCTGTCGGCTAAGAAAAGAGAATTGTGTATCTGCTGGTTTGGGCTAGTTCAGGCGCCGATAAGGCAAAGTCGAAGGCAAACAAGTCATCAGGGAGATTTATTAAGCGGCGTTGATGGCCGAGTGCGCGGCCAGAGAGTACCCATCAGCTGTACTAGGTCTTTATCTCGACAGGTATGAAGCGTGCAAGCTGGCAGGACCAAGAGCAGCCCTACTAACATCCAGCTCGATGCGGCTACTGGTTGGTTTGTTGACTGGGCTACTTTTGACGCTTTTGCAGGGTCCCGCGGTCCTCACCCGCCATCGGTTGATCACAGACTGCCGGACGATCTTGGCCTGCGCGCAAGTAGAATACATTTTGCTGCAAGTGGCGGTACTCAAGAGGCTTTTGGCGCGGATGGTAAATTAGATCCCGCGACGCTAGTCTGTGGTGTAACGACGAGCTTACAGTTTGAGGCGATGGGAGAGAAGCCAAGCTGCCAAGCTGCGTCTATCTTTCGGGCATCGTGCTGCCGTGTATCGCAAATACGTGAACCACCGCGCGGGCGATTGGGTGTCTCCCTGCATATGCATACATGTAGTCTTGTGCTCTTGTGTGGCAATGTTTGATATTGGTTTCTTGGCTTGCCCATCACCTGTAGGTATTTTCGGCGTTTCTCTTTGTCGGCTATGGTGCGGTGAATGGTGAGGCTTGGCCTTTGAGCAAGACCAACCGAATCCACACGAGCTCCGTAATACGGTAAACTACTGTACGGGGTGGAGGTAGTTTGCTGTACAAAAGACGGAGAGGGCGGCATGTGGGCGGTAGGACGGGCAGCAAGGACGAAATACTGGCAGAGCACTCGTACGAGTAAGTACATGTAGGGAGATACGTGTTACAGAGCCTGGGGAGAAAGACGCATGTACAGTACGTCGGTAGATTCTCCGCAACGTATCGCCACTACTGATGGACAGGTCAGTGCTTGGAGACCGGGATCGACGACCTCGACTAGCCCCCAAGCCATAGTAATAAGCGTCAACAAGCGGCTCGCTTTGATTTCAACGTCTGTAAAGCCTGAGCGCGTGATGGATCTGTGGTCCTGCCGTCGCTAGCTTGTCTCCCTTGTAGGCGTTTTAGCGGCTGCGGCGGCCATCTGCTTTGATGAAGGCACCCAAGTGGTGGGTGATACTATTAGATTTGGGCTGCTGTGCATCCGGAGGCCCAATAATTCAAAGCAGCGTCGTGTCATTTGAGTAGGCCCTTTCCATGGGTAGTAGGTAGTTGCTTTGGGTCAATCATCGTGTAGCCCCAATGCCCGGATGATCATGGCCTCGCATACTGGCCTCTCCAAGCACTTCCAATGGGGAAGGCTCTCTTTGGGTGCGAGGGATTGAGTTGAGAGCAAATGTGACGAGTGGCATGCAGGGCAAGAGAGCAACGCCAATTACAGTGCTTGACTTGCATACAGGCTGTCCGACGATCCGCTTCGTTCAAACATGGAGAGAAGCGATGAACTGCGGCGATAGGCGATCTGGCGGACGTGCTCAAAGCCACACACGGATCTGGACGGCAGGGGGTGCGGGCTCGAGATCGCTGATGGCGTTGGCGTTGGCGTTGGCGCTGGCGCTGGCGAAGAGGCCATTGCATACGATGAGTCGACAGAGGTGTGTCTCAAATCTGCACAGCCCAACCATATACTAGCAGAAGCAGCAGTGGCAGCGGCAGCAGTACCTATTGCAACAAGCGAGGTGACCCCATGCCGCACACGCCCTTGCAAAATCAAAGTCAAAAGAATAATGGTCAAAAAAATGCCAGCGGTAGGCCGGAGTCTGCCGTCATGGCCCCAGCTGGGACATGGGCGATGGAGCCACCGAGACAGATGCCTTGTCACGCCAGGGAGGATATTGGCCTGTCATCCGCAACTGAGCTCTGGGGAGCAGAGCCACTCACACAAGCCATCCAGCCAGCCGGAGAGCAGCCTGAAGCAGCCGAGAGGACCCAGGAGGCGTCCGGAGTGGGTGAGTGGCTAAAAGGCCTGGGCTAGGCTGGGGCATCATGTTGGATAGAGCAGACATTAACGGTGGAGCGAGAGGGAGAGATGAAGGGAGAACCGAATATTCGGGCTGCTGGATTTATGAATGCAGATTGATCCAGAGCCGAGTAAGCAGCTGCAGAATCGACGATGGAAATGGAGATTTCAGATGAATGAGCCGTGATTATGGTGTTGTGGGAGGGAAAGATGCAAATGCACTCTATAATTTTTGCGGCGAAGACCAGAGACAGGCGCGACCCCTGAGGAGAGGAAGTTACATGTAGTAGGCGCCTTACACTTACAGGTATGTACATGGCACCACTATCGCTATTCCACTGTAATTGTGCTAAAGCCCGCCCAAAATGCTACGGGGTGCTACGGCATTGGCTGTGCCCGGCTTTGAATTCGCCCCTGCACACCAGACGTCAAATATCGTATACACAGCATAAGACCGACCCAAATTACAACCACTCGGGGTCTGCTATAGCAATCAGTCGTAGCACTGCATTCGTAGTACTGCTATCCAGCAGGTAATAGTGCTGTGATACTATCGGCCAGAGCCTCGATCTCAGCTTGGTACGACGCCGCCACTAAATGCAAAGAGGCTTAATTCGACGGGATCCCCAGACCGGTCAAGCAGGCAATTGATCGGAGCGTCGCCATTCGCTCGATCAGGGCACGGGCTGCCGCGGATGGGCTGCACGGATGGGCTGCACGGATGGGCTGCACGGATGGGCTGGGGGGATTTAATTTCAATGTTTATTTCTACCTACCTTGGCCTCCTCGCGTACTTGTATAAATCAACCACACTTGTGTAGATACGATACACAGAGAGTGATTACAGGTAATTAATTCTCTGATTTCCAGGCTCACCCCCCCTCCCTAGTCGGCGAAGCGCTCGCGCCAACACCATCTCATCGGCCAATCACTCAGAAATCACAAACAATCACAGGCGCTAGTAGCGCCTATTTGGAGATGGAGATCAGCATCGGCAAGCATCAGCAAGCATCAGCCAGGCTACAGGGTCCAACTACAAGACCCAGCTGTGTCGGATCAACTGGCCCGAGATGGCGGCGATGCCTCAAAGTCGGTGCCATTCCGTGTCTATGTCTAGCATTAGCATTTCAACAGTGAGGCGAAGAAAGTGGAATCAAGTTCTACTAGCAGAATAAACGAAATGATGGAAACAAAGGCCAGTGGCCGAGACAAGTAACAAGACCTTATCCCCATCTACTATGCATTTGCTATTGTTGGCTGTGGCATACCTAGCCAGTATAGACTACTAGTAGATACCTATTCATAACAAGTGCTTCGCGCTCCAAACTCTCTGCCCTTGCCTGATGCCATCATTCTGTCTCGCCTTGCCACCCCTTTTTTTTCCGAATCCCTCAGGTGACTTTTTCTCTCCTCTGCTTTCTTTTCTTTGCTTTTCTTTCTCCTCCCTTCTTACACCGATTCACGTCTCAATACCCTGGCAAACTTACTTTCCTGCTCTTGTGCTACTATATGTTACCCTCCTTGAGGGCCGAGTGGTCCTCTCTCCGAGACCTGTCTTAGATTTTGCCTATGTGCTGATTCTGACAGGGGCATTTGGGCAAGAAAAAAAAAATGGCTCCTAAATTAAGCTTTGTGCCGAACGTTCAAATCTAGTCGATGCCTTACTGTGTAATTTGACCATTGAACCCACTGTATACTTCATCTCTTGGCGCTGGAAGCGCTGTATATGTGCCTTTTGTGCTTGTTCAGCTATACCCTAGCTGAAATGAAGCTATCTAGGATCAAATGATGTTTTAAATTGAACTGCGCAAACAACACTAGAATAACTGAACCAAAACCATGAACGAGTAGCCATTGCTTCCTGTAATCACTGTGAGCTCTCTTTTTTCTCCCCTACGATTCGAAGTTTGAACCGCTTCTTCCTACTATTGAACACGGTTGAACATTGGATTTGCCTAGATTTACTTACGTTTCTTCGCGGCTGTTGTTGCAGCTATGAGGCTGACCGCTCCACATGTGGGATTCTATTCCACAAGATAAATACCATTGCTTGACCTTTTTCCCTCGTCTTCATCTTCTCTAGTCGACTGCTAGAATCTCCGGACCTTAGGAATAGCGCACTATTTGGATCTCATGGTACGAATAGCTTTACAGGGTACCCCAAGACCGGCTCAATTCTCCATCTTCTCGACAGGTAGCACCGCTTGGTAACTTTACCGAAGTAACCAGCCAATGGACGAAATACGAGTAGAGCATACCACCAGCACGGTGCGTTGTGAGTCCTACCGCCTAGCCCGCTCCTCCACCAGGCTCCGGATCAAGAAAAAGTCAGGCGAGCCCACTGACAGCTGGCAATTGCATCAGAGGGCTCAATCCCTGTCCTCTCCAATCTCACTCCCGAGCCCACCCAAGATTTGGCCAGCCCACACTGCCCGATTGGGAACGTCTGTCTCGCAACAGCTCCAATACTACTACTATCCACACGGGCCACACCCCTCTATCCATCTCTCGCGGCCCGGGATGGTGCCCCCAACCCATCTCGCCCTCGCACGAGCACCGCTGTGTTGTTGCTCCCGGGGACGAGGTAGAGATCGGCATCCACCAGCCATTGCGGACTGTACATGTACGGATCCCTTCGGCCTGGCACTTGGGCATGCTGGTGGTAAGGGGATTTGGGCAAATTGCCACGATAATAGACACCGACTGTGCTCGAGTATCTGTACTTCCATGTAGTTCCTCGCTGGACAGTGAGCCTATGGCCATTATCGACGACTATACTACTGACCGTACTGGTACACTCCCTGCAGGGCAATAGGTCATTGTACATTAGCTGGGATGGCACTCACATATAGGTACTCTGAGCGTATGTACATGTATATATGCATAACTGGGCCCAGGCCCCATTGTCCGTGTCCTGAAGAAAGACCCCTGTATCAAAAGCACCTGCTTTTTTTTTTCTTTATTATACCCCGGCCCTCTTCACCTCTCTCTCGTCCACCAACACATCTTCTTTCTCTTCTTTCTTCCTCCCTTTCTCTTCACAATCATTCATCACCCGGCATTGAATCTGGATTTTGATCTCCATCATCCCATAGCACCTCTTCGTCCCCACTCTACAGACGACATCGGGTGCCACTATGGACCCGTTGTCGGTCCCTGTATCGCCTACGGCGCCGGCTCCTGACGTTCCAGAAAGACCAAGCACCGCAGAAAGACCAACTACCGGGTCCGTCACTGTCATCGAGCTGAACGACGCAGAGTACTGCACACGGGTGTTGCAGCTGCCTTTGGGCAAGTCTGAAGCTGAGGCCGATGAGGAGCTCCTGGCTAGAGCAAGCGCCGTTGGCATCACCGCTACTCTGCCATCATTGGCCAGCCAATGTCCTCCCGCTAGCAGCTGGTCGGACTCGTCGTTTGGAACCCCACAGGACCGATTATTTTCTAATATTTCCAACAAGACCAATGGAACTGGTGTATCGACTCAATCTTCTGCCGTCTGCCCTCCGAGCCCGCTATTTGATTCCGAAGGTGGAGAAAGAAGAAGTTCAACATCAAGCCTGACTTTTGCCCACTATGAACGCTACATTTCTACCATCGACTCTGGTAGCAATGACGACAAGCCGGCCAAAGATCCGCTTCCAATTTACAATTTCTCTCCTCGAAGGGTCTTCATACCCTCTCCCAAGAGCATGGCCAGCGCAGGTTCCAAGAAGAGCAGTTTTCAAGCCATCAAAGAACGTTTGTTTGGAAGGAGAAAGAAGAAGAAGAAGGTTATCCAGATACTACCACCACCGCTACCACCCCCTGTTGTTGAAGTCAGGATGTAAGTCTTCTATTCCCCCCTACTATCCTCCCATTTTCCATATGCTATATGCCTATTGTTCCATCTATATGCGGATCTATCAGCTGACGTCTTCTGTGTGCAACTTCATACAGTGTATGTACCACTTGTCGAGATAGCTTTGAAGAAAAGTCCAGCGCCCTTCACAAGCTCAAGTGTGGCCACATCCACTGCGTTGATTGCGTAAAAACTATGATCAAGCAAGCCGTCGAGGATGAAACCCTCATGCCACCAAGCTGCTGTTCCTCTCCGCTTACGCCTTCATTGATCAGGGCAATTCTGAACCAAGATGACCAGGATACATTTTTGCTGGCAGTTGTGAAACTCAATACTCCGGCTGACGAGCAATTGTTTTGTCCTGACCCTGATTGTGGCCACTTTATTCCGCCCCAGGATGGGTACGATGTCAGGCACCCATTTGATCTCGCCTGCGTCAAATGCAATGGTCGTATGTGCGGCATATGCAAAGACATTGGCCATGGCCTGGGCGAACATTGCCCTCTGGACTGGGAGCTGACGTTGTTGAAGAAGAAGCAGCAACAGCAAAATGACAAGGAGATTTGGAGGCGATGCTACCAGTGTAGGAATCTGGTTAGCACGAGCGAGACATCCCAAATCACGACTTGTCTATGCAAGGCCCAGTTCTGCTCTGTGTGCACGGGTATTTGGGATCCCATCACTGGCTGCCCCAACCTTTGCAGCTTTGAAGATGAATTGCAACGGCGGCGGATCGCAGCGACTCTGTCTTCTATTAACGAACTGAAGCTACGCTCTAACCCGTCTGTTCAACAGCTGGGGCAGGAACAGCAGCAAGAGCTGCATCGATTCATGAAGTACAAATTCAAGACCAAAGATGCGTTGCAGACACGCCACCTGATGCAAGAGGCCACCTTGGAGGAAAAATACGAGTTGCAAGAGGAAGCCATCCAAGCGCGACATAAGAAGACGTTGAATTCGATGGAGGTCCGTCACCTTAAGGCCGAGATGGAGCTGCAAGACCGTCTGAATAAATACGAAGATACCATTGGCTATCGAATCAAGCACATGGAAGGCTACTGCAACGGCCTTGGAAGAAACCCGAGCTCGCAGGCAGCAGCCAGGACTGTTACCGAGAAAGATCTCCGAGAGCTCGGCCACCACTACCATATACGAGACACCATGGAGCAAATATGGGCGGGCAAGATCAACGTCATGAGAGAGCGGCAAGACAGGCAGCAGGAAGACTGCCGTGTCACACAAGAGAATGAGCTCGAGACTTTCATGGATAAGAGACAGGAAGTTCTCGACAAGATGGAAGCCGAGTTTCTCCGGGAGGAGACTCACTTCAACGAAGTCTTTGCAGCTCGCCAGCGCCACATACAGGCCCGATGGGTCCTCGTCATTGAGGTGCTGTGCAGAGAGTTTGAACAGCAGAGCCCTAAGCAGGCTTGCCGCCGTGTTTCCATTCCAAAGTGGCCCGAAGATAGAGTCTTCAGGACCCGCAACAGCGAAAAGCAGCAATAATCATGCTATGGCGAAGTCCTCCCTCTTCCCAGCCTGGGAGGCACTGGCAGAATCATCAGAGACTTGGTCGTCAGATGACGATGACCTTGATGTTTGCAGACATATACCTGATACCCCTTGACGACTATCACCTATTTCCTTTGTCCATTCTCTTCTCTGGCCGAGACTTGTTGTCTCCTGTGGTCCCGTTCGATTATGCTCTTCTCTCGCCCATTCAGCGCCCTCGTTTAATTACCGCTTTTTCTCTTTTCGTTTGTACGGTTCGATTGCCGACACGATCTCTATCTTCCTATTTTCCTATTTTCCTAATTCCCCATTCTTATTTACACGGGAACACCTTTTCGCCACATTAGCCACGTTTAATTCTGTTCATATTTCTTTCAACTATATCCCATGCCGCTCGCTTCTTAATCACAGTATGGTATAATTGAGAACGGCCTTTTGCCCATCTCGTCCTTCCTTACTCTTTTCATAATTATTAATATTGTGCGATTCCCCTTCTATGATTGCACTATCAGCATTTCTTGGGCATTTCGGTTTATGGAAAGATTGACAGAGCCCGCCCCTTAAATTACACACACACAAAAAAGAAAAAGAAAACACCACGAAAAAAAAAGGCCAAGCAAGCGACCAAGATTGCATTTTAATTACTTCTACTAGTCGCCTCTCACACTGTTATGTGTTGAGTTCTGTCTCTTCTAATGTTTGTGTTTACCGATGCGAGCTCAAGAGCCTCGCTGCACTCTCAACGGATGACTGTTTATGATACCAGCCGAAAGGACGCCGTAGTGCACCCTGGAAAGCAAAAGGGTATGGTATGGAATGAAAAAGTTCTGATTGTTTTTTATTTTTAATTTTTATCTGGGTTAACTATGGGTAGGCCATGGTCAGGGCCGAAACTGGGGCGGATTTCAAAGATTGTTTGTGTCACACACACTATTGCATTTGCAATTACTAGTAGATAGCCTTAGATAGCTGGGTCTTACTGTTTGTTAAGACAAATATAATTAATGTTTACCAAGAAATTGGCAAATGCTGTGTGATTATTTCTTCGTTTTTAAAAGTATTGTAGTTGTGGCTGGCATGGGCTGATTTCGTAGAGCTGAAAGAGATGGTCACGCACGAGGGAAAGCTGAGGCCAAGAGACGGCAGAGAGATGACATGATACACCAAGTTGGCAGTTTGGCTGCCTCGACTTGATTTACATTTACACATGCTTCGTGTAGACTGAGAGATGCCCTACGTGATATGAGGACTGTGTCTCATCCGACCCTCGCATCAATGCTACCCTAAAGAGGCCTTCAAGTGAATAAATCACTCAGTGCATCTTTCACCCGCTGAAGCAGTATTTGGCTATCCACTCCAAAGCGTAGTACACTGGTAACAGCTGGGTGGGCTCTGTTCACGTCAACTGAATCCGGGATCTTGGGATGGCCAGGCTGCAGATCCGGGTTGACCCTTGCCTCAGCT